TTAAAAGCTCGAATTCTGAAATTAAAAAGTAAATGTAAGACATTGAATGAGAGGGTTCGTCAGGCAAAAAAATTGTCACAGAGTCAGGCATTTTTAAATGTTGTAGAAAATCTTTCTGAACCAGCTGCAATATTGGTAAATATGCAACTTAAAAAGTCATCAAAAATGCCAAGAGGTAGGAGATTCAGCATGACAGAGAAAATTTTATGTTTGACTATATACAAGCAAAGTCAAAAAACATATAACTTCTTGCAAATGATTTTTGGTTTGCCTTCTAAAAGAACCATGCAAAAAATGTTAAGCAGCATCTCTTTAACTACAGGCATAAACGAGACCATAATGAAGCAATTAGCTAAAACTGTGAAAAAGTTGCCTAATGAAAAAAAGCTGTGTACGTTAATTTTTGATGAGGTGGCATTGACTCCACCCTGTATGAAATTATTGGTTTTGAAGATTTTGGGGGACATAGGACCTCAAAAATTGCTGATCATGCGTTAGTATTTATGCAGAAAAATCTTAAGGGAAAATTTAAACAATCGATTTGCTTTACATTCTGCCAGAGTACAATAATTGTAACAGTGTAGAATTAAAAAAAAATAATCAAAGAAGTAATAGCACAAGTCAACAGCACTGGCTTAAAAATTGTGTCTACAATCTGTAACCAATCCCCAACAAATATGAAAGTTATAAAAATCTTCTTAATGAAACAAAAGAAAAATACCTTCGGGCACTGAATGGAAAAGTTTGGCTTTTGAAATTGATGACAGCAAAATCTTTCCAATTTTTGATCCTCCACATGTACTCAAGGGATTAAGAAACAACCTAATGACCAAAAATTTAAAATACACCCAAAACGGAGAAACAAAGGTTGCACAATGGAATCATTTACGAATGTTACTTGACATTGATGTGGGAGAACATGACATTCGCTTGGTGAACAAATTAACGGAGATGCACGTCAATAAGGACAAAGTTCCTAAAATGAAAGTGAAATATGCAGCTCAAGTTTTCAGCCAACGGGTATCTGCAGCTTTACGCTTCTTAGCAAGTTTGTATTTTTATTTCTGTACTTAAATGATACCAGCGATTTCATCTGTGTGGATTTAGATTTTTAAAATTCAGAGAGCTCTCTGGTTTTCTGTCAAAAAAAATTCTATCTGTTTACAGAACCTAAGCTATCTTTGTATCAAATTTCGCCAAAATCGTTCAATTGGATGGCCATGAAAATTTAACAGGCAGATATAAAGACACATTTATAATACTAGTATGGATATTAATCATCATCGTCATCACAGCCCTTCACAATTAACTTAAAGTACGGTCTTAAGCTATCAGCATACATCGACTTCCTGTATGTCTTACTAGGTCGTCACTCCATCTAGTTCGGGGCCGCTCTACATTTCCCCTACAAATACAAGGCTGCCACTCGAGAACCTTTCGTCCCCATAGGTCGTCGGTTCTTCGAGCTATATGACTAATTCATTGCCACTACAGCTTCACATTATAATAGGAAATAGTAAAAATCTTTAAATTTTTAATAATTAATAATGTTTTCTTTTTCAGATCATAATCTATTGCCAAAAGAATGTCTCGCAACTGCTGATCTGCTGCTACTAGTTGATAAGTTATTTGACTCTTTCAATGGTCATTGTTACCAAGACAGTGCAAAACTATACAAAGCAGCATTGAGAAAAAACTCGCTGCATTTTAAGCTCTGGGATGAAGCTTTACCTATACTGAACTCTATGGGTTATGAAGTAAATAAAGATGGGGCTACAAAATTTGTAAAGGTTCCATCAATTCAAAATTGGATACATAATATCCATGTAGTAAAAGAAATGTTTTCTTATTTAAACGCTAAACACAGTGTAAGCAGCTTATTAATGAGAAACCTGAACCAGGATCCACTGGAAAATTTCTTTTCCAGTATCAGGAGCAATGGGATTCGAAATGTATCACCAACATGCTGCCAATTTACTGGAGCATATAAAACTTTGTTAGTGAATAATTTAACTTCCCCTCATTCAATTAGTGCAAACTGTGAACGTGACAATAACAAAATATTAAAGCCACTAAAATGTTTAATTAATTCGCAAAAAATAGAAACAGGAGAGAAACCAGATGCAAATATAAATGTGGATTCTTTAATAAATTTGTTTGGACAAAACGAGAATTCAGAACCCATCAATTTAACTACTAAGGAAGCTAAACGTTATGTTGCTGGATATTTAGTGCATAAGTGTATAAAACATATATGTAAAAATTGTAACGTGTGTAAAATGCAATTGTTAAGTACAACACCTCCGACCCAATATGATTATATTTTAGAAAGGGACTATACAAAAAAGTCATGTAAATATCCATCAGAGGCGTTGTGTTCATTTACAGATGAAGTTTACCTTATAATCCAAACGCAATTGATTGAAGAACCACAAATAAAGAATATTAAGGATAGGATAATTCAGAAAACTAAAATATTTTGCAACTTTTCGTTCCTCTCCTGCGAAAATCATAATAAGAGGCTTTATGATTATTTGTTAAATTTAATAATAAATGTGGTTGTTCACAGTTGGTGCACCAATGTTAATAGGCTGCTAAAGGGAAAATTATTAAGTACCGATTGTGAAAATGATAATGTTAAAGCTCAAGCTTTCAAATATTATAAAATTCATAAAAGAAAAAAATAAATAATTAAAATTACTTTCCGTCTTTCATATTAATATTACAAAAATATTTTGTGAAATAGGCTAAGTTTTATTAGTGTTAATGTTATCTACAAAATTACTATTTGGAGATTTTAGATAATTATTGTAGATATTCAATAATTATCTGGTAGAATGCATACATAAACATTGATAATAAACTGCTTATTTCATAAATATCAATATAATCATTGACAAAATACGCCATCTAGTGGTAACTACCGCAAGCCGCGATGTACTAAAAGAATACAGCGCCATCTAGCGAACACGGTACACTCAATCGAAAACTGAAATGTGAGTGGCGCATCTATTCCTGGTATATAGTGTTTGTCTATGGTATTGAACGCAAAGGGCCGGCGCAGTGAACTATATGGTATAATTGCCGACATAAGTCGTGAGCACACTTTTTATTGGTCGATACGACGTTGACCAACGTTCTGACTAACGTTCAACGTGATTCGTTCATCAGTCGATTCTCGTCGTCTATTGGTTTCGAACGTATCATTCGGCTTCCGTACACTTCAAAACAATACTTTTAGTGATAACTTTTTTAATTAGTTTATTTTCGTTAATTGTTTTTGTTACCTCGGTGTTAATTGTTGTTTGTGTATTCCTTGTTATTAATTGTTTTTGTTATTTCTTGTTTTTAATTATTTTTGTTGTTATAATTTGAGTGTTCAGATTTTGGTCTAAATATGCAGAGAGGGAAGAATACCGTGTTAAATAGACAATCCCGACAAATGGTCTATTCAGTGTTTAGTTACATGAAAAAATTAGGTACTGCGAAAAACATCATAGACGTATATAAACAGACTGCTGAGGCGACTAATGTCTCAGTAGCTACTGTACGGCGCACCGCAACACCAGATTTTATGGAAGGCATATCACCTCTTCCTTTTTCTTATTTAAATAATCAATTCTAACCACCAGGTATACTTTATACTTTATAGTAGATAATAAAATAACGGACACGAATATCTGCAACATTACTGTATCAAAGTAAAAGTTGATATGTTCCAGTAAACATTTTCATAAAAGTCGGCGAAAATATTCAATTACGAATTGAAATAATAAAGGTACCCAATAATTTTGCCCGACAATGTACCTACCTCCCACCACAGTTTATCTGTGCTCACGACTCGTGTCGGCAACTATACTTTTATTTAGTTAATTAAAAAATAATAGTAACGATTTAAAAAGAAAAATCATGGTAGTGTTTAAAGCAAATGTTGATGATTATTTTGATATAAATTTTACGTCAAAATGATGTAGAACTTTGGAGATATTGGGGATTGTATCGAAGCCTTTTCAACAGGTAACCGAATTCTGTCGATTTTTTTCCCTTACGTGAAAGGCACATAACGAAAATGTATTTAACAATTATTAAAGTATAGGATATTTGTGAGATAAAAATATTTTTTTCGATGGTCGATATTCAATAGAATCTATAAATTAGATCTCCCAAATCATGTCTGTCAGAGTTTTGGCCTAAACATGCACCGGGAGAATGATTATTAATAAATAAATAAATAAGTAATCTAAAATTTGCCTTGAGCTTAGAGAAATCGAACTATTTTTACCAAGTAATTGTTATTTCAAGCAACGAACGAAAAACATATAATTTCAACGAGGAAACCTTGTAATTTCGCATTTTTTGTAATACTCTTAATACTTCCAACCAAATTTGTGGTGCGCGAAGCAGCTATGTACGTGTACGTGACACCTTGTGCACAATGAAGGGCTGCAGCCGCACATAGAGCGGCATGCGGTGCGTGACCGCGTGCTCCAGGAAGTCCCACAGGTGGTGCGCGGAGCAGCTGTGAATGCGTGTGTATCACCTTGTGCACAATGAAGGGCTGCAGCAGCACGTAGAGCGGCGTGCGGTACGTGACCACGTGCTCCAGGAAGTCCCAAAGGTGATGCGCGGAGCAGCTGTTTACGCGTGCGTGTCACCTTGTGAACAATAAAGGGTTGCAGCAGCACGTAGAGCGGCATGCGGTATATGACCACGTGCTCCAGGAAGTCCCACAGGTGGTGCGCGGAGCAACTGTGTATGCGTGCGTGTCACCTTGTGCACAATAAAGGGCTGCAGCAGCACGTAGAGCGGCGTGCGGTATGTGACCACGTGCTCCAGGAAGTCCCACAGGTGGTGCGCGGAGCAGCTGTGTATGCGTGCGTGTCACCTTGTGCACAATAAAGGGCTGCAGCAGCACGTAGAGCGGCATGCGGTATATGACCACGTGCTCCAGGAAGTCCCACAGATGGTGCGCGGAGCAGCTGTGTATGCGTGCGTGTCACCTTATGCACAATAAAGGGCTGCAGCAGCACGTAGAGCGGCGTGCGGTACGTGACCACGTGTTCCAGGAAGTCCCACAGGTGGTGCGCGGCCTCATTGCGCCGGCCCAGCTCACGCATGGCTCGTGCGATGCGGCCCCACTCCGAGCACAGCTCGCTTGTAAAGCACGCGCACAACACTTTGAGAGCTGGTGACAAACGTGATCACATTCAAATTAAAAGAAAAATATATTGTACCTATATTAAGGTTCTTCTTTATCAACAGTCCATTAAATCCTGGTTTGGGTATTACAACATACTGGTCTGGGTATATAATGACCGATATAAACGAGCGAAATGGTTATGCTACCATTTATCACAAGAGATTTTTCGAGCATTTCATATGGACGACGATACATTCAGTGAACGAAATGGGGCAATGTATTTCTCTTACGCCGCCACCACATGACTTATATATAAAGTTAGTGCTGTGGCTTACAAAAACTATCGGAATATCTTCCACAAAAGTAGCTGAGCGGAAAATCCATACGAATCTATATAGGTTAATTCTCCTTTATTGTTTTCACAATGTATACAGCAATACGGGCCATAGTATTATAGTAGCCATAGCGTTTTTGTCAATACTAAACTGCTTGTCATTTTTTGCGGGGAGAAATCTGTGCACACAAGCACAATCTGTAACTACGAAACTCACTCATAATAAGTAAAACAATAAACTAATAATTTAACACACACATATACATAATATCAGTATTGCTCTGTGACAGCGACAACTCTGATACACTCGCTCGACCGATCCACATATCGTATAAGAGCGAGCAGCCTGAATCGGTAAACTAATCGGAAACAATACGATCGTTATTATTGTAAAACAGCAACTATGTTATTAATAATTACATGTATATGAAAGTATATATATATATATATATATATATATATATATATATATAAACGTCATATTTTGTAAATTTAACGTAGCTTTTTCTTTTTGCAGCAAATAAACTGAATAATTCGGCATTCTTGTGGGACGTCGATACAGCCGCGCAACTAAATTTAGTTTAGTGAGCGGTGCGGTTGCAACTAGTTTTATTGTACGCATAGGACCGAATGAACTTAATACTTTGACAGAGGGGAATGTCTGCGTATTACTACTTCCTTCCAGCACGCCGGTGGTCTGTCTTGCTTTATGCTCGAATGGCTGACAAAGAGTGAATATTTTATTTGATATACGTATATCAATAAAATGTACAATATATACAAAGAAACATTATTTATTTTTTATTTATACTTAAAGTAGTCATATGCAAATTTTTATAATATGATATTCTTCTTTCTTTTCAACCTTTTTGATTCTACTGGATGTAGGACTTTTGAACAATGTCAACTGTCTAGGTTGCTTTCGTAATTTTTGTCTATACTCAATCGTGATTGGCTATAATTAGGTTGATGAGCGTAGAGCCTCTTTCTTTTCTCATTAGTGAGAGATTGAGGACCGCTTTTCAAACTAATATACCCTAATCAGTGGTTATCAGTTAGCATGTACATGGCTGTAAAATTGTTAGCAAAAGTAAAAGTGTGAATGTAATGTTTTACCGAGGAAGGCAATCCTGTAGAGTTGGTTGGAGAGGCGCGTGGTGTTACGGATGTCGCGGCTGCCGGTGAAGGTGAGCGAGCTGGCGCGCGCGTCGGCCGCGTTGAGCTTGGCGTTGACGGCGGCCAGCTGGCCGGGTGGTGCGGGCGGGCATAGCGCGCTCAGCACCACCGACACCACGTACGACACGTCCGACTGCCTGAGCGGCGGCACGTCTGCACCACAACGTCACACGTCACATATACGACACTAACACACGGTTCACAACTTCGGCTAAGAATACCCAATATCTTCCAATGAGTGTCGAAGAAGCCACAGAGGGAAACTGAGGCAGAAGATGGGCAGCAACATCTTTCTGATAACAGCAAAATAATAACAAAAAAACTGCACTCGCCAACCCGCTCGCTAAGCATGGCAACTATGACAATATACCCATCATGATGAGAGTTACGAAGATACAGCCACTAGTCCACGGCGGCCCCGCTATTCCTGGCTACGGTGGCGGCCCTGGTAACTACGGGGCAGAGGGTGCAAAGAATCTCTGGTGGAGGTTGGTTTGCAGCACTATGCTCAATGACTTCAATAGTGCCTCCCAACGAATAGGTCTTAAGTTGAACATAGATAAAACAAATATAGTGTGAAACTTCCATGTGAAACCTATGCAGGTAGTTGTTGGGAGCACTAAGTTCGAAGTCGTTAACGAGAATGTTTGCCTGGGACAACTGTCCGACTAAGTAAGTCCAACTTCGGCCGAGAGGTCAATCAACGAATTCAACTCGGTTGAGCTGAGCAGATTCGGGAAATTTAGGCACATTTTCTTGTCACGTATACCTCAAAACTTGAAAACGAGATTGTACAACCAGTACATGTTATCAGTGATTACTTATGGATCTGAGAAGTGATCCGTCACTGCTGGCCGTCTGAGGAAGTACAAAGACTCAGTGAGCTGTGGAGAGAGCTATGCTCGGAGTTTCTCTGCGAGATACTTAGAAATAAGGATATCTGCAGTATACCCAGAGCGACCGACATAGCCCAACGGATTATTAAGCTGAAGTATGATGGGGAAAAAAGCGCCTCGAGTGGCAATCTCCTACTGGTAGGCGAAGTGTAAGGCGACCCTCCACTAGATGGAATGACAACCTGGTAAGACACGCAAGAAGTTGATGGATGCAGGTGGCTCAGAACTGTCCTTTGATGCATTCCTTAAGGAGGCCTATGTTCAGCTGCTGTACTGATAATAATGATGATGAACGCGTGTTCTTAAAATAAGTCTAACATGGTTTCGACATCACTGTACGTAGTATTCTGTCCATATTTTTGTTGATCTGATATTATTTATACACAATACCTTTCCTCCCACTGCCAACCCGTAAACAGAGCGGCATCAAGAGGTTCATTAGCATGTTCTCAGTCTTCTCCGCGGAAGGGAATATTGCTGTGCCGCCGCACATTTGTTCTAATGAGTAACTATCCTGAAATATAAAATTATTACTATAATTTTACCAATATAAATGATAAGAAAAAATATTTATTCTCTTTAATTTATGAGAGGTTATATAGCGCTCTGTAAGCAAAATAAAACTGTAGCATGCCTTAATCGCAAAGCAAAATGTTCTACTAGCGCCTAAAAATCAAGAATCCAACGATTTTTCGCATCAAGTCGTATCTAACAATCATATTGAACATATAAATGATATAAAAAACATATTGACAGAAAGATAAACGATTGTTAAACTTTTTTTTAATCTATTAATTGTTATTTTTACATTAAGGTGATATAGAAAGTCAAATCAAATTCTAATTTCGCCCCCACTTCCCCGCGCGTCGTATGCTATGTACCGAAATGTTTGTAATCACTAATACTGTAAGTAGATTGGTCGTTAGATACTTATTTCATTAGATTTATCATATTTATGCCTGTTTCTTTACGCCAACCCAGTCCCCCTTCGAAAGCCGAAGCAAGACTGATGGAGACTGATCGGGCGGCAGGAAACACGCTTCAAGACGCCGATAGTTTAGGTAATTTCTTTTTACAGTGAAAATAATGGTAATCTAAAAAAACATTAGCCCTGCTTTATAGTTAGTTCAGTTAGTATGCAAAGTTTCATGATCTAATTTAAAGTATTTTATGAATACTTATCGTTCAGTTTGGAGGTAAATTTGGATTTTTTTTTCTAACGAGAAAATTTTACTGTTGTATTTGTACTTAACATTAATCCTCAACTTTACCATATATTTATTTCAAAATTAATGCTGCAATATTTTCGGCAAACGGAGGATCTTGCTAAGCCATTTGAGGTAGTATTTTTATTATTTCCCCTTAAGAAAGTGGTTTCAGTGGCTTATGGTGGTGGTTAAATTATTATTATTTTTACAATCACAGATTTTCATTACAATATATTGTTTCAGTAAAAGTACGTAGGATTTATATATAAATATACTCATACGTCTTGGACTTTATGGAGTAACCTGAAGGTGTACTTTGGTGAATGCTAAATTAAAATACCGGTTATGACTAGATGAAAAACTTTTTGAAAACGAAATAAAGTTGATGAGATTTTTTATTAGTCAGGCAAAAAAGACTAGTTTTTACGATAATGCCTGAGTACAAATACCGATTAATGATCGTTTTAAGATAATTCTGTAAAAAGCTTTTTCAATTAACAATAATAAGGTTCTCTACACTCACTATACGAAACACAGCTACATTTAGCTCTTTTATGCTGGTATTCTGTGGGAGCGTGGTCCTCCCCCGGTTGATCCGACCCATTCGTGCTACATCTATAGTACTAATATAGCTGCAGCATGGCTCTACCCCGTATATAAAATACGCCAGAATATTTTATACCCAATACGCTAAAAATGTTGTGCCTAGATTACTTTCAAGCATATCAAATATCAAAGTTTGTCCAATGGGTAGTGGCATCGAAAGGGAAAGTAGGTAATTATCAAAAGATTTATTGTTATATTTTAAAATAAATTAGCAGTCGTAAAATTTCTTGTAAAAATGTAATTGTGCGTAAGAATATCCACTACCCCATATCATCCCGCATGTGTCGTAAGAGGCGACAGAGGAAAACTGAAACAGAAGATGAGCAGTAGAATCTTCCTGATAATAAATGAAAGTAATCAAAAACTCCGGTTGCCATCCCGGGAGCCAAGCTTAGCAGCTATGGCTAAAACCCCTACGAGGGTAATTGTTAGCCTGTGTAGCGACGTACAGCGGTGCGTGTGTACTCACGCCGGTGTTGTTGACCTGCAGGGCGATGAGGCGCACGACGGTGCTACAGAAGTGCGGCGGCGGCGGCTGCGACATCCGTATGGGGCGCCACATCCTTTGTTGAGGGTAGTTGTAAGTGTGTGCAGTGGTGCTTGTGTACTCACGCCGGTGTTGATGACCTGCAGGGCGATGAGGCGCACGACGGTGCTGCAGAAGTGCGGCGGCGGCGGCTGCGACATCCGTATGGGGCTTATTGAGGGTAGTTGTAAGTGTGTGCAGTGGTGCGTTGTGTACTCACGCCGGTGTTGTTGACCTGCAGGGCGATGAGGCGCACGACGGTGCTGCAGAAGTGCGGCGGCGGCGGCTGCGACATCCGTATGGCGGCGGCGGCGGCTGCGTCATCCGTATGTTATTGAGGGTAGTTGTAAGTGTGTGCAGTGGTGCTTGTGTACTCACGCCGGTGTTGTTGACCTGCAGGGCGATGAGGCGCACGACGGTGCTGCAGAAGTGCGGCGGCGGCGGCTGCGACATCCGTATGGCGGCGGTTTTGTTGAGGGTAGTTGTAAGTGTGTGCAGTGGTGCGTGTGTACTCACGCCGGTGTTGTTGACCTGCAGGGCGATGAGGCGCACGACGGTGCTGCAGAAGTGCGGCGGCGGCGGCTGCGACATCCGTATGGGGCTTGTTGAGGGTAGTTGTAAGTGTGTGCAGTGGTGCGTGTGTACTCACGCCGGTGTTGTTGATCTGCAGGGCGATGAGGCGCACGACGGTGCTGCAGAAGTGCGGCGGCGGCGGCTGCGACATCCGTATGTTGTTGAGGGTAGTTGTAAGTGTGTGCAGTGGTGCGTGTGTACTCACGCCGGTGTTGTTGACCTGCAGGGCGATGAGGCGCACGACGGTGCTGCAGAAGTGCGGCGGCGGCGGCTGCGACATCCGTATGTTGTTGAGGGTAGTTGTAAGTGTGTGCAGTGGTGCGTGTGTACTCACGCCGGTGTTGTTGACCTGCAGGGCGATGAGGCGCACGACGGTGCTGCAGAAGTGCGGCGCCGGCGGCTGCGACATCCGTATGTTGTTGAGGGTAGTTGTAAGTGTGTGCAGTGGTGCGTGTGTACTCACGCCGGTGTTGTTGACCTGCAGGGCGATGAGGCGCACGACGGTGCTGCAGAAGTCCGGCGGCGGCGGCTGCGACATCCGTATGTTGTTGAGGGTAGTTGTAAGTGTGTGCAGTGGTGCGTGTGTTCTCACGCCGGTGTTCTTGACCTGCAGGGCGATGAGGCGCACGACGGTGCTGCAGAAGTGCGGCGGCGGCGGCTGCGACATCCGTATGTTGTTGAGGGTAGTTGTAAGTGTGTGCAGTGGTGCGTGTGTACTCACGCCGGTGTTGTTGACCTGCAGGGCGATGAGGCGCACGACGGTGCTGCAGAAGTGCGGCGGCGGCGGCTGCGACATCCGTATGTTGTTGAGGGTAGTTGTAAGTGTGTGCAGTGGTGCGTGTGTACCCACGCCGGTGTTGTTGACCTGCAGGGCGATGAGGCGCACGACGGTGCTGCAGAAGTGCGGCGGCGGCGGCTGCGACATCCGTATGCTGTTGAGGGTAGTTGTAAGTGTGTGCAGTGGTGCGTGCGTACTCACGCCGGTGCTGTTGACCTGCAGGGCGATGAGGCGCACGACGGTGCTGCAGAAGTGCGGCGGCGTCGGCTGCGACGTCCGTATGTTGTTGAGGGTAGTTGTAAGTGTGTGCAGTGGTGCGTGTGTACTCACGCCTGTGTTGATGACCTGCAGGGCGATGAGGCGCACGACGGTGCTGCAGAAGTGCGGCGGCGTCGGCTGCGACATCCGTATGTTGTTGAGGGTAGTTGTAAGTGTGTGCAGTGGTGCGTGTGTACTCACGCCTATGTTGTTGACCTGCAGGGCGATGAGGCGCACGGCGGTGCTGCAGAAGTGCGGCGGCGGCGGCTGCGACATCCGTATGTTGTTGAGGGTAGTTGTAAGTGTGTGCAGTGGTGCGTGTGTACTCACGCCTGTGTTGATGACCTGCAGGGCGATGAGGCGCACGACGGTGCTGCAGAAGTGCGGCGGCGGCGGCTGCGACATCAGTGCCGCCGTCGCCGACGACAGGTTCTCGCCTGAGTTGTTATCCGACACTATCAACGCCTGTTAGTAAACATATGAAATGCCGTCATAAAACATGAAAATATTACATTGATGAAAGATCAACGTTTATACTCGTATATTCTACTGAAATATGCCTTAATCCGTAAATACTAGGCTACGTTGGTGACAAATTGTGATGGTGCTTTGTGTGCTGGGCATATTCCACTGCATGGGTTTGACTGTTTAAAAAAAGTTACTCTCCTCTTTTGTAATTTATGTGGAAAAAAGATAACGTTAAACATTTTCTACTGCAAGTGTGGCTTGTGCGTGACATATACGCGTCGAGCTTACAATGCTCTGCGCGTACAGTATAAAAACACTTTCAGGATGTTGTCGCGGCTTCCATGGCATTGCAATGCATTCGGTATGTTTGCGCAAGCGCGTATTGATACTATCCAAGCGATCATTCGGAAGAAAACAGTTTCACTCTTGCAACACTTATGAAACATTATCATGTTCTCTCGCTCGCACACTAGTGCGCGTGCCATAAGCAGAAAAAAAATTAGTCTTGATTTGCTTCACGCTGTCTCACGCGCTCAGTGATCCTTTTTACGAATTACTTGTTTTCTTTTATTTTTCCGTTTTCTGCTATTTTTCCGTTGTTACCTGTAAAGCGTCGTTGTTTGGACGTGTGGAATGTGCGGAGACAGTAATTATGTCCCCTTGAAAGCAATATATATATATATATATTATATATATATATATATATATCTCTAATAGTACCTTCTAACAGTGGTAGAGTCACGCGGCAGCTTTGCTGTTGCACGTATGGGCCGGCTCATACCGAGGTGGTACCACGCGACCTCACAGAATACCGGCGTGAAGTGGAAGCTCTGCTTCCGCGTTTCGTCTGGTGAGTGCAGGTGGCCGGAGTCTCAAATCTCCCTCCCCCTCCATCAATATGGTAGCGGAATTAAATGATGATAGACTACCCCAGGAGGGTACCAGCACCTCTGGAGAATCCCTCGCTGAGCATCCACGACCATGTTTCTCCACTTCTGAGCGTGGGTGCTCAGGCTGCCCCGCGTATTCTGGGGGGGGGGGGGGCAAAATTCCGCTCAAGACTACAACTGCTCGGGGCAAACGGAGCAACAAGACCAAGGCGACACTCTGCCACGCTGTCCGTGAATTTCTGCAATATCAGGGGACTTCACTCTAACCTAAACGCCGTCCACTACCATCTCGAGACGGCGAGGCCGGCTCTGCTCTTTCTGACCGAGAAGCAGGTGTCCTCTCCGGCTGATGTCTCGTATCTCTCCTACTACCCGGGGTACAAACTGGAACACTCCCTTGTGCCTCGGGCTGGAGTTTGCGTTTACGTCAGAGAGGACATCTGTTCTCGACGCCTCGGCAGACTTGAAGGTTCGGACCTGTCCATCCTTTGGCTACGCGTAGACAGCGACGACCATCCGCGCGTCTACGGGTGCCTCTATAGCTCCCATAGCGGTAATGCCGAAACAGACCGACTCTTCGACCACGTCCAAATGGCTACAGATTCGTTGCTACAGCAGATCTCCTCCGCTGAGATCGTGATCCTCGGCGACTTTAACGCCCATCATGCCGAATGACTTGGTTCATGTTTAACTGATCATGCGGGGAGATCTGTTCATGATTTTGCCTTGGCATATGGTCTGACACAACTGGTTACTTCGCCTACGCGGATTCCAGATGTGGAGGATCATGCACCTTCCCTGTTGGACCTTCTGCTGACCTCTCACCCGGACGGATATCAGATTTCCTTCGACGCCCCTTTAGGCTCCTCGGACCATTGTCTTGTCCGGACTGTGGTGCCACTCACGCTGAAATCGCAGTTGCATTCTGCAGGCTGCCGCCGTGTTTGGCACTATAGGTCAGCCGATTGGGATGGGATGCGGTTTTTCTTTGCATCCTACCCTTGGGGGCGGGTTTGCTTTTCGCTGGACGATCCCAAAGTTGTTGCGGCTTCTGTCGCTGATATGGTACTTCAGGGTATGGAACTTTTTATTCCTTCCTCTGTGGTGACCATTGGAGGTAAATCTCAGCCATGGTTTGGTCGCTCCCGTAAAATAGCATCATGCTATAAGCTGGAGCCTGGGCTGATGCATCAGCGTCCCGGGATGTAAACACCAGCGCTCTAAAAAATAAGTATAATTCCGCCTCTAGGTCCTTCAAAAGAGTCATTGCCAAGGCAAAGTCAGAGCACATAGGCAGAATTGGCGAGAAACTAGTTCGCCTTCCTTCTGGAACCCGTGCATTCTGGTCTCTCGCCAAGGCTGTCCAGGGGAATTTCTGTCAGCCATCTCTTCCATCTCTGTACAGGGAGGACGACTCACTGGCCCATACCGCAAAGGAGAAAGCCGATCTGCTAGGCTCTTTCTTTGCGTCCAACTCGACTCTCGATGACGGGGGAGTATGCCGCCGACCATCCCGCGGTGTGAGTGCTCCATGGCGGAAGTGCATTTCACACAGCGCTCGGTTCGCAAAGCACTCCACTCCCTGGACATCCACAAGTCGAGTGGGCCTGACGGAAACCCCCAATTATGCTGAGGACGTGTGCTCCAGAGTTGGCACCGGTTTTAACGCGTCTTTTCCGGTACTCCTACTCCCTAGGCGTAGTCCCAAAATCATGGAAGACGGCTTTCGTCCAACCCGATCCCTAAAAAAGGCGAACGCTCAGACCCGTCCAACTACCGGCCTGTCGTCATCACCTCCTTGTTCTCCAAAACAATGGAGTCCATTGTAAACTGCCAGCTCATGAGGTACCTTGAGGATCACCAGCTGATTAGTGACCGCCAATACGGTTTTCGCCGTGGTCGGTCAGCTGGTGATCTTCTGGTCTACCTAACTCACAGATGGCCGGAGGCAGTAGAGTCCAAGGGGGAGGCATTGGCCGTTAGTTTGGACATTGCGAAGGCCTTCGATCGGGTTCGGCACAAAGCGCTTCTTTCGAAGCTCCCTTCCTATGGGCTGTTTGGAGAAATTGTGCGATTGGATCACCAGCTTTCTTGCAGATCGGAGCATCAAGGTCGTTGTAGACGGTGCAAGCTCCGATTGCAAGCCTATTAATGCTGGTGTTCCACAAGGCTGCGTGCTATCGCCAACGCTGTTTCTTCTGCATATCAATGATATGTTGCAAACCCGTAATATTCATTGCTATGCAGATGACAGCTCTGGTGATGCTCTTTACACCGGCCAAGCCAATATTTCTCGGGAAAACGTCACTGAGTGCCGGGACAAACTTGTGTCTGAAGTCGAGTCTTTGCTGAACAGAGTCTCGGATTGGGGGCGAATAGATCTAGTCCAGTTTAACCCCCAGAAGACACAAGTTTGCGCGTTAACCGCTAAAAAGAACCCCTTTGTCGTATCTCCTCAGTTTCAAGGCACTCCCCTTGTTGCCTCAGCCAGTATCGGAATCCTCGGCGTCAACATATCGAGTGACGTGCAGTTTTGTGGTCACTTGGAAGAGAAGGCCAAATTGGCCTCTAAAAAGCTTGGCGTGCTCAGCAGAGCGGGACAGTATTTCATGCCTGCACACCGCCTGCAACTTTACAAGGCGCAGGTTCGGCCGCACATGGAATACTGTTCCCATCTCTGGGCTGGGGCTCCCCAGTACCAGCTCCTTCCACTTGACCGCATCCAGTGCATATCGGCTCGAATCGTCGACGACCGAGTGCCTTCCGATCGGCTCGATTCACTGGCACTGCGAAGAGATGTTGCATCTCTTTGCATTTTCTTTCGCATATACCATGGAGAGTGCTCTGAGGAATTGTTCGGATTAATCCCAGCCGCCAAATTTCGTGAACGCGCTTCGCGGCAAACGTCCCGATACCATCCACACCATCTGGATGCTTGGCGGTCCACCACGTACGTTTCAAAAGGAGTTTTCTTCCGCGTACAACCTCTCTGTGGAATAGTTTACCACCGGCAATTTTTCCGGACCGATACGACCTGGGGACCTTCAAGAAAAGAGCTTACTCCTTTCTAAAGGACCGGCAACGCATCTGCAATTCCCCTGGTGTTGCGGTTGATCATGGGCGGCGGTAGTCACTTAACATCAGGTGAGCCGCATGCTTGTTTGCCCCTCTCTTCTATAAAATATATGTATATATATATATATTTTTTTCCCTTTTACTTCCCTTAATTACATTAAAAATTTTTTTAATATTTTATCCTACAATTCAATATACTAAACACTAATCAAAAATTATTATAACTAGTATTTACAAAAAACTATTTACGTGAAGAGCGTTAAAAACTTTAACATTCAATCGCCTACAACGTGCTAGCCCCGACTGCGTATGTTAACCTGGGTGCCTCGCGATTGTAGGCAATTATTTCACGCAGGTAGCAAAAGTGACAGAGGGCTGACAGGGCTAGACAGTGCATCGTACTATAAAACATATATTTATTTATAGTATATATGGAGGGCAGTGCTCTGAGTACAAAATTCGCTCTCTCTAGTTCAACTCAATGTTTACCGCCAACACATTTTGTTTTTCTTTTATTTGCATGGGAATTAATTTCGAAGTAATGACGAACAATTTGACATTAAGAAAAAAACGACGGATTGCACTCCGGGAGTGCCGGCAGAAGTGAAAACTTGAATATTAACGTTGTGCATTTTTGATATTTTGGAATGATTAGGGAATAATTTTACACGAATTGCTTTAATTATCAGACCCGAGCATTCGCGCAAGCGCCCTGCGCCGCCTAAACGAAACAGCAGGCGCACGCACACATTTTCGCCGCACCGTAGAAAGAGGGGAGGGGTATACTTCCTCTCTTACGCCGCGCCGGCTGTCTCTCTCTCTCTCTCTCTATCATCTGTCTTACGAATTTTCGATCAGGGTCACGTTTCCCTGACGCGAGTTTAACATTTTTTACCCATTACAAAAAGTGTACAACGCCGCTAAAGAAGTTTTCACTTCAAAATTTTAAAGTGGCCAGTACCTTTTAGTTGGTCAATTTTATTAAAAATAGCCCTATAGTTTTCACTTCAACATTTTAAAGTGGCCAGTACCTTTTAGTTGGTCAATTTTATTAACAATAGCCTTATACCATGTTGATGTGTTTAGTATAAAACTTATTGCAAGTGTCAGTATTCGTGATGCTAACATACGTACTTGTACAGTATTGAGAAGAGTCTTCACTTGTTGCCAGTGCATAATGTAAGGGCACCTGATCATCGTTTCGTAGACGCCTTTTAGGAGCACAGCTGCTGAATCCCAGTCTGTATTTCTCTAAAAAGCAATTGACTCAATAATTAAAACATACAGATGTAAATTAACTTTTTTTTTCAAATTAATAAAAACTACAAACTAAACGGCACTTATTAAAATATGTAAATTCAGAGTTTATTTTAACCGACATATTTTTAAGTATAGTCTGTTTTTCGTATATATTTTATAGTCACTTCGAGTAACAAAAACACAATGAGTATAGCATTTTACTGCATTTTAGTTAGTGCATTAAAAGAAGAGTTCTTTTATACACTATTGTAATACTTTGTTTTCATAAAGATGATATTCTAATAGTTCTAGGCGGGCTAAGCGTTATTAAAGATCGCTTCCCTTGCGCAATAACGATATAAAATTTTAACCCATGGACTTATTTTCTGCATGTTCCACGTTCTCACAGAATACCAGCGTAAAATAGTAGCTTAGTGCTGCTGTGTTTCGTATGGTGAGTATAGAGAACCGGAGACTCTTTTTAGTGGAAAGAGGCATTCCATCTTAGTTCTCACGGGTGATAACGCATCTGCATTTTGATTTGTAATAGAGGATAGATGTAGATGTCTATGGACCACAGCAACTACTTACCGTCAGGTGGACTGTGTACTTGTTTGTCACCCTATCTATAAAATTAAAATAAATAAAATATGTATGTATAAATGAATTTTATGTAACAGACAAAATGATACGGTTAATTAATAATCACAATATTTTAAAACTACGTACCCGTATACTAGGCTTCTTCGCGATCTTCAAGAATACTTTATCGAGGCGCCGGAGTATCATTATAAGTGAAGGTCGTAAATCCATTTCCGCCCATTCTCCAGCGGGTAGCACCAGTGTCATGTAACGCTGTAGACCACGGCAGCCCATCGACTCGGGATCGTATGGGGATACTTTAAGCAAGGAGTGTGCTATTTCTGCCAGACGCTAAAAATTTTAAGAACAAATTAAAGATTGAAAAATAATAAAATCTGTATTTTAAACTGGAAAGAACTAAAGAATATCAACAAAAACAGGATGAACCGGAGACACGTTTTACTGGTAAGGAGACATTTCATCTTAGACCTCTGGGTGGCAACGCATCTGCACTTTATTCTTAAAAGCGTAATAATAATTAACCTATTAGCATTAGCATGATAACAGGTAAAACGAAGTGATAAAGATTGGCGTGAAAGAGGTGTTGAGCTGCACTAAAGATGTATGAGCGACTCACGGCGTGCGACTTGGAGTCGAGCAGGTCGACGGGCTTGCCCTCGCTGCCGCCGCTCCCGCCGCTGCCCTTGGAGCCGTTGAGCTCGAGCAGGCGCGCGCTGGCGCGCCCGATGAACTCGCCCACCAGCGACAGCAGCACGTCTCGCGGCCGCCGGTACTCCGCGCGCACCAGCTGCACACCGCTCAACACTTATTCTTTTTTCTTTAGTATTGCACTCGGATGGTTGCACTTTTATCAGTGACAAGTATAGTAAGACATTATCCTTTATAATAATTTCTTTAAAAACTTCTTCACAATATGTCGATGAGTCAGTTACATTGAGAAGTTTTTGAGAGATTTTGACAGCAGCTTGAGCTAACGGACGGTTGATAATGATAGAATCCCAAGGCGCCTAAGCAGACACATTATCTTGTGATTCACATTACATAGTCATAATTATAACCGGAGCAATGGAAACGTTTTCATCACAGTCTTTTATCCCTGATCCTATTGTTGGAGTATCAAGTAATACTGTCATACATTCTGGAAGATGGCCTTCTTTTATTTGGTCTCTACGTTGAGCGGACCACTCAAAATCTTTGACGGAAATATTTTTCCTCAACGTTATTTATGAGCCTTAAGCTAACTGATTTTATTTGAATTAACCGGAATCGCGTTATCAATCTCGGCATTCATTGATTGCTCTCATTATATACGTTTTAGGTTACTAAATAAGTATTAACTTTCAAAGTAATATTTTTTGTTTTTTAAACCATTATTTATACTTTTGTAAATCAAATTAGTTAATCTTACTGGTCGCCGAATTGTTTGTGGACTAAAACTACAGGAGCACCAGAGTCCTAAGTCGGCGAAAGTCGCGTGTGTCCGCCAACTTGTCTGTGAACAAGTGCAAGTGAATGCGCGCGCTAAGGCTGCGGACGCACCTCGGAGTCCTCCGCATCGGCGGCGGGCGGCGGGCGTGCGTGATCGCTGACGTAGCGCGAGTGCGACTCGTCCTCAAGCAGCTCGAGCGGCACGAACGCGCTGCCGCCGCCTGACCGCGCACATCCGCGCTGCGACGACCCCTTGTGCTCCGGCGACGTGCGGTACGGCCCGTTGTACGATCTGTAAATGCATTTTATAACTCAAACAAACCTTAGCAATAGCAATCTGAACAGTCCTGTGATAAAGAGATCTAAAAAAGGGGCATGGTGATCGGCCCGGGGAGTGCCCAACACTCCGAGTATACTGTAATTTCTTCGGAACTTTGATAGCGCGATTTAGGCTTCGATGTGTTTCCCTTATGGAGCGACGACAGCGCCACCCACACAGTACCGGTCTATCGATGTTTTATTGAATAAAATTCGGAAAGTGTGTGCTAGTATTGCATGACGTAATTCTTCCCTTTTCTTTTTATCATCGGACAACCAGACGCTAGACTGGTCTTCGCCACTTTATCGTCGACATACCACGCATTCGCAAACTGTTTGCTTCGTCGTTCGTAATGCGTACAGATAAAGAAATGGAATAAATTGGTATAGCCGTGCTCCAGCTATATTATTGTAGTAGTAGCACGAATGGGTCGGCTCGAACGGGGAAGAACCACTCCTTCCTCGGTCGAGTCAACCCACTCGTAAAAGAACCCGAGTTCTTACGTACATATTATAGCTAACATGAAACACCAATGCTTCGGAAAATCTGTGTTAACTTGTGGGCCTTAGACACCCCCCTTACGTTACATCACAATTACAACGTAACACGTTACAATTAACATTTATTTAAATTATTAACATTAATTCCTATTAAGGGTGACACAAAAAAGGCTATTGAAATTAAAAAAATAACATCCTACTTTCAATAGAGAAAAAAGAAGGCTGGGTTCTATACCACCTGCTTGGGATCATATAATTAATAAAATATATATCATATAATCATTTAATTAATTATAAAATTAAACCCAATGCCCAAGCATACCACTGCAAGACTTCAAAATACAGTAAGTTCATTATATATATATATATATATATATATATATATATATATATATATATATATATATATATTGTTTTGTAGCGGCAATGGTTTAAAGCTATACTAAAATTCGATAGGTAGCTAGCTAGATTGAGCTTCTATGGCCAGCTGAATACATCATCGTTGGAGTCCGATCCGAAAGCAAGTCTTATCGTATGATATTCCGGACGTCAGTATTAGCGAGATTAGTATGGCTCTTTAGCACCTTAAAATCGGCATCTCCCCGGGCAAGAATGGAATAACAGCAGATCTGCTGAAAGCGGGTGAACAACCGGAACTTGAAGCTCTTTAATTGCGTCCTCCATGGTGGCACTACTCCGGAGGCGTGGAGCAGAAGTGTGGTGTTTTTCGAGAAAGGCGACAATATCAATACTCTCCCTTCTGAACCGCGTCTACATGTTGTGTTCGAGAGTTACTAGGAATCGCCTCGAATACGGGCAGACTCGACGACTTCCACTTTTTCAAACAAGCCGGTTTGCGAAAAGTCTTTAACACCTTAGACCACTTTGACCTTGACTTTTGACCATTTGGTAAATTGTACAGAAGACGGAATAGTACAATCTGCCATTTTATCTTGCATATGTGGACTATAAGCCTTTGATTCCGTTGAAATTTAGGCGGACTGCTTCCCTTCAGCGGTGCCAAGTTGACTGTCGGTAGATCGAAGTAATGAAGTGTTTGTCCAATAGAGCTACAATGGCAAACCGAGTACAGAACCAGAGTAAGAAACCTATCCCATTGCAGAAAGATTTAAGACAGGGTGACGTTATATCCCCGGAACTCCTCACCGCTGTATTGGAGGACGTTTGCAATCTACTGGACTGAAAAGGATACGGCATTAACATCATTGGTGAGTACATAGCTCACAGTCAATTTACCTACAATGTAGTCCTTATGGCAGCATCGCTGGAAGACCTAAGCACTATACTCAATGACCTCAATAGTGCCTCCCAACAGATAAGCCTTAAAATTAAAAAACAAAACAACGATCATGTGTAACGTCCATATCATACCCGTGCCGGTAGTTATTGGGAGCACTAAGGTCGAAGTTGTTGAGGAGTATGTTTACCTGGGACAAATAGTTCGACTAGGTAAGTCTAACTTCGAGCGAGAGGTCAATCGACGGATTCTACTCGAATGGGCATAGTTCGGGAGATCACAACTCATCTTCTCTTTAGGTATACCTCAAAACTTGAAAACAAGATTGTACAATCAGTGCGTGTAGCTAGTGATAGACTTGGATCTGAGATTTGGTCCTTCACTGCTGTCCGTAATTCATTCCTTGGGGGAGGTCTATGTTCAGCAGTGGACTTGTGAAAGGTTGTAATGATGATGATGAAAAGGTTCGGAGAAAATTCAAAATGAAACTCATTATGCCACTTACCTGTAAGGGCGGAACACAGTTTGCAACGCCAGTAAATAAGTAATTTAAAAATAAAACATACAAAATTAGCAAAATGAACCAACTCTTAACGAAACGAAGATTCGCACTTACTTCGACAAACCCTCGCAGTTATTAACGAGTGTCTTTATCGCTATGGCCAACTGTTGTATGATCTCCTTTTCAGTTTTACCTTCTTTGTTGTAAGTAGGTAGCTGTATCTGTTTTACGTAACATGGAAGTATGGCCTCCAATATTATCTGAAAATTTACATGCAATTCTAATTTATTTAGATAGTTGTACTTATGATAAAACAGACTAAGAGTAATAGCACAGGCCACAGTTTAAAGACCTTACAGTTTGGAAACGAATGTACTTGTGCAGAGCAACGGTAGGAGCCTTGCGGGAAAGGGGGCGGCCTGAACTTGTGCTAGAGTCCTTCACTGCGTCTGTTATACAATATACGTGGTTGGCGCAAGCGTGTTTTGTAACCATAGAATACTATAATACACAATAGAATGGCTGTCAACTTTATTTTGTAACATGTTGACAGACTAAATAAATTTACACATTTTAGACTTTTGATTAATGTTCAAGATCATCATTAAAAAATCATTTGAATTTTAATACATATTTATTTGGAAATAGGGTGCAATTTGACATTTTTTAAATAATTTGCATGCGAAATTTGGAAAGGATTGTTACGTCAAAACACATCTCGTGTTGACATTTATACGTGTGAATTGGCGTGTTAGTGACATTTTAGTGGCTACGCGGGCTCCGCCCACTCCCCCGTTCTATTATGTATGTATTATAGTATTCTGTGTATATAACGAATTATAAAGTATTTTTTAAGATATTTATATAAAATTTTAAAAAGAGTAAAGTATAATATCTATAATGCTGAATTACTGTTATAGTTACTCATATAACTATAACTAAGAAAAATTTAGTTCAAATGACGGCCATTCTTACGTTTCCCCACATTTGTTTTGATTGATTAAACTTAACCATCGAAAACTAAAAACATTTATAAAAAAAGTGTCACGAAAATAATTCGCAGTGCAACACTTGTAAATGTGTTTTTTTCTTGTAGTATTAGAAAATCATCTAGTTCAATAATTGATTATAATTAATAAGTACATATGTACACAATGTTAATAAATGATAATGAGTATTACAGTATCCAAAATTATTTTATTTCCATTTTCGTAACAACCCTGGCTGCGTCAATACCTTACGCGGGCGGCGGCACCGCCGGACAAAAGCGTTTCACAACTGTATTGTTAAACTGCGGTAATAGAGTTATAGGTAACAAGTAAATTACTGTTATATGTAATGTATAATACAACTTCTATTTACGATGACGTCATACAACGACTTCACATTAAAATAATGAAAGTACTCACAAGCATCTGATAACCGCGCATGCTCTCAGCCGCATACGACACTACCATGACACATAGGCAGATGCAATCCAACACGTCGACCATTTCGTCCTCGTCGCGGTAGCAGAAGTCGATCGGCTTCAGCGGCTTCTCCTCCTTAATCAGCTCAGCTATGTGCAGCGGGTCGGGGGATGGAGTTTCCAGGCTTAGTAGCAAGTTGAAAAGACAGCTGGATTGGACCTAGCCACAAAACCAAGTCGGTAATAAGGTAGTATGTAAGTAAATGTAAAGTACCCTCTTCCTATATTCTACTTCTTGGCATAGGCATAGAATACTATAATACACAATAGAATGGCTGTCAATCTTATTTTGTACGACGATATGCGTCGCCGGGAGCACACATACCAGCAATAACGTCGTATTATCACTACTACAAACCCGATTCGCTGTGTTGACAGACAGATAGATTTTAATACATATTTATTTGTAAATAGTATGCAATTTGGCATTTTCTAAATAATTTGCATGGGAAATTTGGAAACGATTGTAACGTCAAAACACATCTCGTGTTGACATTTATACGTGTGAATTGACGTATTAGTGGCATTTTTGTGGCTACACAGGCTCCGCCCACTCCCCCGTTCTATTATTGTATTATAGTATTCTATGGGCATAGGCCTCCTCACATCTTTAAGAGGATTTCAGTGCAATTGGTTTTTAAATTAAATTCTTAATTGCTCAAAAATGTGGATTTCCTAGAGGTATTTTCTTTACAGCCATTTTCTAGCGATTAAAGCAGGCAGCTTTTAAAATATACGGAATGATGTGATGTAAAGATTTTATTTTCTTACGCCGCAACTACCTCTTCACCCCATCACATATTTCTGCCACGAAGTATCATTGCATCTATTGTTTCATTTCGGTTTGGTGATATTAATACTTTCAATTTTAATACTTTTGTGTATATTATAAATATCATATAATATATATATATATATTTTTTTTTTTTTTATTTATATATATACTTTATTTATAATTTTAGTAGTGTATAGTATAAATAATTATATTTTGATATTTATGGCAAATAGGCAGAATGTACTGAACTCATAATATTATGTCAATTTCTTTGTTTGTTTAAAAATAAATATTTATACTAAAAGCGATTCCAGTGTATATTTTTTTTAATGAGAATAAAAATGATATTGAATTAACAAATTCAAAGTTATTACTTACTTTACTCGCATCACCGTACACCGCTTCTTCGTCTGTATCTAGAATAGCAGACACTGAGCCAAACATTTGTAAAATGAACGGTTTCCTATTTAAAAGATAGAATTGTTTAACTGCGTATTCTATTGTGGTTGTAACCAGCTTATTTGTTTGGAAGTTTGAATATATCTGTAGTAACGTTGGCATTATCAAGAGGTATCTGAAATATAAAAATCTAAAGTTATAAAGAATATTAAAATAAAAGAAGAAAAAGGTAGTGCCTCTTGAATGATTTATTTTTATATAATAAAGTTGTAATAAGTATAGCAAAAATTGTAAAATTGCAAAATAGTAAAATTTTTGTGAACTTTCATTACAAATCAAAAGTAAACGATATTAATATGAGTTATATTTAAAACAATTTAATATTAAGTTATAATGTAACTCTTACCCATTAGTAGAAAATATACTTTTAAAATTGAACGCGGCGTTAACATAAGTAGCGATCACATATCGGAGTATAAGCGAATCCTCGCTGTGAAGCATCAATGCGCCATTGAGAACGTTGAGGAACAAATGAATGTCTCTTGAAGACGTGAAGTTACCTGCCATGGCCTCGAACATTCGAGCTATGAGGCGAACCCACCTGCAATAGAAAGCACCAATAATACTAAGTATGAATAATGCCTGGTTTTTATATGTCAAATGTTTCGTTTTCACTTGTGAACTATTTCAGAAATTACCAGAATACAATTTAGCTTCTCTATTGTCATATTATGAGGTGTTATCATCAAGAACAACGATATATTATGTACGCCCAGAAGAATTTAAAATAATTTTATAATGGGTATATTTCAGAACACTCATATAAGACTAAGTGAAATTTTAATCGATAATTTTAACTTACATGAATTTATGTAATACGTCAAGTCCAAGGAGAGTAGGGCCCAGTTCTCCTCGACTGTATAAATCCAGGTCAGCTTCCAAAGCCTTGCGAGGGAACGATGGCAGTTTCATTAGCTCATCGTGGAGAAATACCACTCTTTGAACCACCTATAAGAAGCACATATTTTAACATTACTAGTGCCTTAAAGTGTTAAGAATACTGGAAATTACAGTTTAAATATGTTTTCAATTATTGTAACTTTAACAATCATGACAGTTGATTTATTCACGTCTTGAAGAGAAATTACCCGCTATACAATGGAGGATAGAGAACAGGACAACGTACTAAAGCATAACCCGCCTGTCCTTGAAAATTTGTAGAATTTATAGCGGCGCTGCCGTCGGTGAGTAGTGACTGCGAAGTTAGCTGTTTATGAGTACAAGTAGATGAAGTTAGTTGAATAATGTACAAATTTTCTTCGAGGCATTGGTGAGAAAATTTTCATGCTCCGTAATTTTTAAATTTTTGACAAAAAGAAACATTAAAAAATGGAGAAATATTTTATTGTGCGTGGATGTGCAAGTGGTTTAGCATCTGATCGGAAAAATAGACTGAAAATTACTTTTATTGAGCGAACTTAGCGATCGCAACGCCTCACTTATAGTGTCCATATTTCTGGGACACTATTTTCTACGGCTATCGTTCTCCTGCTTTCTAAACTCCATGCGCTGTACAATAAGTTTATAAGAACAATATGACGTACGTACCATGTCCACGTTTTTAAGTATTGCCCAAGTAAGTAGCACCTTGCCTATCTCCACAAATTTCTGCAGCAATTCCTGTTGCTGTAATTTATGAAAAGCTTCCTCTGGTTCCATGTGCACTAGTCCTAATTGCGGGTACTGGGAACGTTTGAAGAAATAATGGTCTCGTACGTAGCTTTGAGGATTGTGGATTTGACCTAGAAGGAAAATATTGCAGATAAAATAATGTATCACATAATGATTTCTTATATTTACGCGAACACTATACATTGATTAAAACTACTTTTACGGATTTTATCGCGTTTTATTTATTTTTAATACCCGACGTTTCGGGTGCTTTCCAGCACCCATGGTCACGGGGGACTGAGGTGACTGACGTCCCGATGTCAAAGTTAACCCGGAGTACCTTCAGCTTTTTAATTATTGTTTTTAATATTTTGATCGGACCAAAATTTTTTTTATTTTTTAAAATTATGTCTGTCAATATATATGTAAAAGTTGGACTATATAATTTTAAGAATTCAAGATATAGTGATAAGAGTAAAAATTACTGCAACTAAAGTGTTCGGCACGAGGTGATAAATATTATGAAAAAGTCTCGCAATAGCGACTGTCGCTAAGTATCGTAATATTATGTTGGACGGGCGTAGCTTACCGCCGCAAGCACAGTTATTTTACTATCTATCAGAAAAAATAATTAACTAGCCGCAATTTATATGCGTTTAGGAAATTTAAGGCGGTGAAGGGAAACGTAATGTCTACTTGTCTGAGAAATAAGAGACGTGTGAAGTTCGCCTACACGCATTAGGGCAGCGCGACCAACATTTCCTTGACCTAAAACCCTCTCAGAAATGAGAGGAGGCCTGTGCCTGTCAGGCTGTTACTTTAACTAACTTAACTTTTAGGAATCCTGATTTTTTATAGAAGGGGAGGAAACGAGCATACGGCTCACCTGATGGTAATTGACTAACGCCGCCATCCACAACAACCGCAACACAAAAGGAATTGCAGGTTTGTTGCCGGCATTTTAGAAAGGAGTAAGCTCTTTTCTTGAAGGTCCCTAAGTCGAATCGGTCCGGAATGTGGTAAACAATTCCACAGAGAAGTTGTACGAGGAAGAAAACTCCTAGTAAAACGCACAGTGGTGGACCGCCAAGCATCCAGATGGTGAGGATGGTATTGTGAATTTTTTGCGTTCGTGAAATTTGGCGGCTGGAATTAATCCGAACAATTCCTCCCCGCGGTAGATGCGATAGAAAACGCAAAGGTATGCAACATCCCTACGCAGCGCCAGTGAATCGAGCAGATTAGAAAGGACTCTGGTCATCGACGATCCGAACCACTCTGCGCTGGAAGCGGTCAAGTAGAGGAGGCACTGGGATGCCCCGGCCCAGAGATGAGAACAGTATTCCGTGTGAGGCCGAACTTGCGCTTTGTAAAGTTGCAAGCGATGTGCCGTCATCTACTGAGAACGCCAAGCTTTTTAGAAGCCAATTTGGCCTATCCTTGCAAATGATCACGAAATTGCACACTATTCTATATGTTGACGCCGAGGATTCCGAAACTAGCTGAGACAGTTAGGGGAGTACCTTGCGATTAAGGAGACACGACAAAGGGGTTCTTTTTAGCGGTAAACGCGTAAAAGTCTTCTGGGGATTAAACTGGACTAGATTTAGTCACCCCCAATCCGAAATTTTGTTCAGCAAAGACTCGACTTATTTATTAAATCTCACCGATGAGACCATAGTTTAACATACTTATAATTATACGTGGTAGAGCCATGCTGCAGTTATATTAGTAGAATAGTTGTAGCACGAATGGGTCGGCTCGACCGGGAAAGGACCACGCTCTCACAGAATACCAGCGTAAAATAGTAGCTTAATGCTGCTGTGTTTCGTATGGTGAGTGTAGAGAACCGGAGATCCTTTTTACTGGAAACGAGGCACTCCATCTTAGTCCTTACGGGTGACAACGCATCTGCATTTTGATTTGCAATCGAGGATAGATGTAGATGTCTATGAGTCCCAGCAACCACTTACCATCAGTGTGCTCGTTTGTCACCCTATCCTATATTTAAAAAACATTATCGAACAGCTAAGAACTATCGAACAATATGCGGCTCGAAAGATTAAAAATCCAACTCTAAATATATAACTTGGGTATAATATTTATCAACTTACGAGTTTTAAAGTCGACTAAGAAGTACTCATTGTGCAAACGCTCTGGAATACTAAAGAAATCAAGTGATTCTCTTAAAATCTGACAGAACTGCGTGTCTTCCTGGACTGGGAACTGTGACGGTATGCTGCCTTCGTTATCAGCTAAAAATTAAATAATTGTTATAAAATGATAAAAGTTTTATTTACAAATGAAAATAAAGTTTGATATTCACATGGTCCATGCACGATAATTTTCTTTGCAGCGGGCACATTAGCTGTGAGTAAAATTGATGCATCACATTGTTCTTTACGCAGTATCTGTTTAAGATCTTTGAACATAATCCCATGTACGCTATGAACCACCTAAAAAAACAATCAACTTATTATTTGTTCACAGTGTTAATACGCCTTACTAAGAGAAGTACATGGAGAATAACTAGTATGAGCGATAACTCTGTGCAGTGATACTTTGTTTAAAATGGTCTTCAATTTTATCCAATATTTACCATAAGGTATGCAGTTTTACATTCATCTTCTAATCTGAAATAACTCACCATCCATAATATAGATAGAGCAGCTCCAATTAGTCTTTGACCATGTTCGTGCGGTGTTCGCACGTAGAACATGACGTAGCCAATGATATAGTTGTATAAAGCAAACGCTGCTTGTTGCGGCAAGCGAGGAATGAAGCGGATGAGGTGACGCAGCAGCTTAAACATCTCGTCTTGGTGATCTCGAGTGAGGCGTTCCAGCACGTGGCGAAGGAATAATGCCGAGTCTTCTACGAGGCATCCCCAAATACACTGAATGAGAATAAACATTATTTCATAAAAAATCTAAATTGTAATAAAAAATCACATAAATATTTTACTACATAAATCCCGAAATCCCTTTCTAAAAAGGGACGATTTAGGAAATATTTATCATCATCATTACAGCTCTTCGTAATGCAGAGAGATCTGTAATGGATATATATATATATATATATATATATATATATATATATATATATAGCCTCGTAACAAGGCGTAGTGTAGGGCAACCTCCCACTAGATGGAGTGACGATCTGTTAAGACATGCAGGAAATCGATGTATGCAGGCGGCTCAGGACTGTGCTTTGTAGCATTCCTTCCGGGAGGCCTATTTTCAGCAGTGGACTTGTGAAGGGATGTAATGATGATAATGATAAATCTTTCAGACTGGATCACAGCTGTACAAGCAAAGTTGTTTGGCGGCAGAAATAGGTACATGAGTGGTACCTCTACCCAGACGGCCAATTAATAGGAGTCCTGACCCCTAGGAAAGCGTGGGGATTTCGGCAAGCTTTTCTTGTCGTATAGGAGTAGGATATTAGCATGAGACCTGATAGGCGACTTCGTAGACGGAGCAGCCGTCGCGCGAGACGGCGGCGTCGTCCAGCAGCGCCACGAGCTCGGCCACGGCGGAGCACAGCGCGGACGGGAACAGCGCCGCCGCCACCGCCGTGTGGTGCGCGCGCACACCCTCCGCCGCCTCCTCGTCCGCCGCCGCTGAACCACAAGCGCAATACAACACCTCCAAACTTTTCTTTTATTTGGCTACGACTCGTACGACTAGTCCTTTGGCCAGTGTCAACTTATTGCAAATCTTCATAAAATTATTTTTTTTCTTCTATTACAGCTTATAGAATACCACTGCTGTACAAAGCCAATCTATAAAGTGGATACTCTGTCGCTTCTTCAATCACCGTTGGGACGATATGGCATAACAGATATTCTTAAACAGCCACTACACGGTTAAAATTATATGTTAACAAAATACATTACAATATGTTGTTACGACTTTTTTTAAAGCTATTGCATAGCTTTAAAAAATCGCGGGCTTTGAGCGCGGCGACCGAATCAAGAAATTCCGTAAGTAAAAAAATCTAACACCCCAAAACCTAACATCGTCTAACGTCGTTTCAGTTCGGCAGACTTCGGCACGGTGTTTGTGTGCGTGCGACTAGACGTATGCGTGTAGACTAGTTGCATGTAAGTATTGTAAGATAATAAAAATATTTTAAACAATATAGTTTATTGCAAGAAGCATATTATTTGGATTTATATGAGTCGTCGTCATGCTAGCAACTTTCGTGAATTTAGAGTATTTAATAAACACAGACTTTATGGAAAATAATCGTTTGTCGGAAGAACTCGTTAATAACTTGTTAGAAGATATCAAACATCTTTTGAAGCTCCGCAGCGTCGACGCCGCGGATTGTCAGTAAAATAAAAGATAAGTCTTTTTAAAATACCCATTGGTATTTTACAACATAAATCCAACTTCTTTAAACATAATTGTGTAACCGAAAAAGTACTTTGCATAACTTAGATAAGCGGCTGCAGTTATGACGTCACTGAAGTCAAGTGGTCTCCACCATACCAATCTAAATAAGAGACCCTATAATATTAGCTTACAAAAAAAACCAATTGTTTTATGTAATTATTGGTATATTTTTCAGGTATTATGTGTACTGTCGTTCCTTGCTAGTGGTAGTTACCAAAGAATATGCGGCAAAAATATCCGTCCTTCCCCGGTCGAGGCGGCCCATTCGTGCATATTTTTAAAGGTTCTGCTGAACATAGGCCCGCGACACACTCCCATGTTTTAAAAAAAATAGGAATGACAAAGATACTCCCTCTAAAATGGAAGAGGCTCTTAATGTGTTCCTTAATATTATAGATACTGCATAAATAAAATAAATAAATAATGATAATTGCATAAGTTGATAAAAATGCTATGGTGGTAAAGCTTTACCGCGGTAATCCCCGAGTGCCACACGTATTTTTTTATTAACTTTAGAGACGGCTGAGATACTATCGTCTCTCGTCGACGATAGTATCTCAGAACATTATAATTACGTTAAATTGTAGAAGCTTATTTTAATTACGGTAAATTGTAGTTAAAATAAGCAAGAAAATAGCAAGTCCATCTCAATCATAAGACATGTTAACTGACCAAGGAAACAGCTGGCCTATTTTACTCTAATCGTTGATGATACCCGGTTCCAAGGCGAAACACGCGTCGATTTTAGAGTTTGTTTGTACGAATTACCTCAACGTTGGAGTGGCGACGGTGGTTGATGTGCAATTGCTGTTTAGTGAGGTGGTTGCAACAATAGTATGCGTACTTGTGGAATATATAGTGTTGCTTTTAAAACTAGGTAATCTACTATTTCCTCGTCGGCATGTATGGGAGAGAATTTGCCTTAGTCGTCATGCTTGATATGCGTTTTGAAGATCACAGTACCAGTCTTTTCGCATCTTTGACGTTGCTGCCAGTCGCGAGTCGGGGTATTTTACGTCTGGCGTAAGCAAGATGATTATAACATATAAAATTTTAGCTTAATCACTCCTTCCACTTCTACCAACTGTGTCACACGCTTGTCCGCTACTGCTAGCAACATTTCGTGGTCATGAAGTTATCGGCATACTCTCCGTGCTAGGTTCCCGCTCCGATGGCTGCTGTCAAATGTGCAGTATGGGTAGAATAAGCAAAGTAAATGCTTCTTTATGTTCTAACTAGGCCCAACTAAGATTTATTTTAGATTTTGATCTAGTGGAAAGGAACATACTATTCGCAATAAAATTTCATTTTAATCTTAAAGAAAATATTTATCATAAAATTCCGCAAAACAGAAAATACAATAAAGAAACACAAAAATTAAATAGAAGTGAATGTATCACTACTATTATTTTATATGTTTATATGGTGAAATATATTAAACTCACGCTCAATATGATCATCGGCTGCATGATCTAGCACTGGTTCACGAGCCGCCTGTCTCGTTATCGGTATGGTGGTGATGAGGAAGCTTTCTCGTTCCGCTTTCTTCTTGTCGTTGCGCTGCTGCAGTGCTCGTTTAATGGCCTCAGTTTGTTGTTTTTTGCGGGTCTTTGTGGCAGTCACTAATGAACGCTGATGACAATTACATATTATAGTAGATATTTTTAAATATTCATTTGAAATAAATTCTATGTACGTCAAAAATTCCTAAATATCTGTTGGTCTACCAATTTTGACAGATAAAGATCGGAAAAACATATAATGCTGAAAAAATGCCTATCTACGTTAACCCTGTACACCCGACGCGAGAGAGGTTGGGCTTTACTATCATCTAGACGAAGTCACGCTACCCACTCTCATTAAATTCGCTATATTATTAATTACTTGGACATAATTAAAATAGAAAATGGTCAATGTGCAATGAATGATCATCATTTATAATATTGAAGTCTTCATTTATTTATCATTGGCGGATGGAATTAATGTAATTGAAGCTAATGGCATTAAAGTGATGTGAACAATATATGTGATGAGTGTTATTAATATCTGCAAGCAAATACAAAAAAGCACACTGTCCAATGCTTCCCCATATGTGAATACAGTTTTAATTTTTATTGTGTTTTGCCGATAATATGTCTTCTAAATAAATAGATGAACCTAAGTGGTGATTCTCTCTTAGGTATTATGTTTTTTATATGAGAGGGGGCAAACGAGCATGCGGCTGACCTGATGGTAAGTGACTACCGCCGCCCATGAACAAATGCAACACCAGGGGGGTTTGCAGACACGTTGCCGTTCATTAGAAAAGGAGTAGGCTCTTTACTGGAAGGCTAGGCTCTTTACCTTAGAAGACCGATGTCGTATCGGTCCGGAAAATCGCTGGTGGTAGTTGATTCCACAAGGAAGTTGTGCGAGGAAGAAAACTTCATGTAAATAGCACAGTAGTGGACCACCAATAACCCAGGTGGTAAGGATGGAATCTCGAGTTCTGTCGCTATGTACGATGGCAAAATTGAGCAGTTGGAATTTAATCCGAACAATTCCCCTGAGCACTTCCCGTGTCAAATACAATAGAAGAATACGCAAAGAGATGCAATATCTCTTCGCAGCGCCAGTGAGTCAAGCCAATTAGAAAGTGCTCGTTCACCGACCATTTCAAATCGCTCTGCATTATATGCAATCAAATGTAAGGAGCTGGCACCGGGGAGCCCCAGCCCAGAGATAGGAACAGTATTCCATATGAAATCGAACCTGCGCCTTATAAAGTCGCTGGCGGTGTGCCGGCATGAAATACTGTACCGTTCTGCCGAGTATTAGAGGCCAATTTGGCCTGCTCTTACAAGTGACCACAAAACTGCACGTCAATCAATATGTCGAAGGCGAGGATTGCATTACTGGCTGAGGCAACAAAGAGATTGTCCTGAGGAGACACGACAAAAGGGTTTCTTTTAGCGTTAAACGCGTAAACTTGTGTTTTCTGGGGATTAAACTGGACTAGATTTAGTACTCGGTGAAGTTTTCCCGATAAATATTGGCACGGCCGGCGGGTACCGGTTACCAACATACCAGTGATATGCAAAAGAAACAGCGTTGGTGATAGCACGCAGCTTTGTGAAACACCAGCGCTAATAGACTTGTAATCGGAGCATGCACCGTCTAATACGGCCTTAATGCTCCGATCAGCCAGAAAACTGGTGATTCAATTGCACAATTTCTCGGGAAGTTCGTAGAAAGGATGCTTCGAGAGAAGCGCTTTGTGCCAAACCCGATCGAAGACCTTTGCTATGTCCAAACTAACCGTCAAAGCCTCCCCCTTGGACTCGATCGCCTGCGCCCATCAGTGTGTTTATAAACAAGAAGATCACCAGCTGAAGGATCCCGACGGAAACCATGCGGGCACTCACTAATCAGCTAGTGCTACTCAAGGTACCGCATGAGCTGGCTATTAATAATGGACTCCATTATTTTGAAGAACAAGGAGGTGAAGGCGATAGGCCTGTATTTGAAAGGATCAAAGCGTTTACCTTTTTTTGGGATCGGGTGCAGAAAAGCTGTTTTCCATGAATTCAGGACTACGCCTAGGGAGTAAAAGACGTCGAGTCCCGGAAAAGACGCATTAGAAAAAAAGTTTTAATGAAAAGTTACTTACGTGCCGCTCCTGATTGAGCGTCATTTCCATATCTTTATCCTTGACTTGTGGGCTCCAAGGTGGGTCCACGACGGCCAATGATTCGATGCCTATCTTTGGTGAAGGAAGAGTGAATTCAATGCCCGGGGGAGGTACTTTGAACGTCACAGATGCACCTTCCTCCATACGCGGCCATACTTGATAGCGTAATTTCCACATCACTTGGAAACGCAAAATAGCATTGATTCTGTAATCACACGAGTCTTCGTCAATATTCATTTTTGTTTTACATTCCATTACCATTACAGCCTATCGTCCACTGCAACCTAGACCTCCCCCATATTAGAAATATTTGCCAAGCTTGTTAAGCTGGTTGGCAACCACAGTTTTTAATTTTTAATCAACTGTTCTGTATTTTTGGACCGGAGCGAGCGAAGCGAGCGGAGCTCCCATGGCACAAGAAAACGATTCTTTCAAATCTCGTAACCTTCTCCGTAACCCGTAGGCCAATTTACATAATTTTTCGGCAATATTTGTAGCTCAACGCAGACAAAGTGTAAACAATAAAAATCTGAATTTGAATTTGTTTTTCTTTCACAGTCTAATCAATTCACTAATTTACATTTACGCAATGTCTCACCATTTGATTAAATTTTTTGTTGAAATAAAGATACTTATGACTTTAGACTTTAACTCCGCTCCGTTTATGATGCTAGCAAAAGGTTTTAGCTTTTCATCTGCATCGGTCCTAGTTAATCAAGATACTACTGCCCGTCTCCTGGTTTAGTTTTCCTCTGTCGCCTTTTATGAAATCTAGTGAATATTCGTACACCGCCACGTACACGGTTAACTCTTTTAGATCCACCATTATCAATTAAAGTCGCTAACAGCCTCGGTTCGCTCTCAGTGTTCTAAATTTATAAGGGTCCGCATGGTCTTAAGGTACTATAGGGTCCGTGTGTTTTCGGTTCGAATGCATCATTTTGTACGAGGCGACGTGTGGCTTCTGTACCTAAATTGCTCGCTTCGCCGCGCTACTTGCAGTAGAGCAGTTGACTCGGTCCCCTGTCAGTGTGGTACGTACCTAACCGCCGGATCCGCGTGCTTGAGGTCGGAGTGCATCATGTGCGAGGCGGCGTGCGGCGCCCGCACGGCTGCCAGGATAAACGTGGCAGCCGCACACGCACTCAACTCGCGATCAGCCTCCAACAGCAGATTCCACGCCACTGGAGCTACCTCCGCGAACATATCCTCGCTCATCGTTGTGGCGCCTTTGATCAGTGTTGCCAGCGGCATGTGATATGCCTCACGAACCTAAACGTTACAAAACATGGGTTTATTTCATACGATCTTAAGTCGTATATTGTTTTAGTTTTTTGAATTAATTGACCGCAGATCTTTTAGACCAGCAAAGGGAAATGTTTTCTTAGAATACACTGCACCCTATTAGAGAATAAAAATAAATGAAACTGAATTCGAATATAGTGAATTCATTTTCTTTGACCTATCCAGTCATGAAAGACGTAGACAGGCATGATTCCAACTGCTTTATTTGTCAGTGTTTGATCCCAAGTTGTAAGTCCTAGTAAAAAGCAACGCAAATTACCTGTCCTTTAAGGTACTTGAGTATAGCGGGAGGTTCGGTGGGTGGGTAGGGTATAGTGGCCGGCTTCGTAACGGGCGGAGCTTCGCTGTGCGGCAGCGAGTGCTCCACGCCAGCCGCTCGATAGGCTAACCCTGCCGACTCGATCATGGACCGATCGATCCTGAAATTTATTATTAAAGTTTGGTGTAGCTTATCGCAAATGATCACACAAATAATCAGATAAAAAAAAATTAAAAGTGATTAATTTGCAAAGTATTTAAGGCGAACAATATTAGTCGTAGCACATATTGTTCATACTGGATCGTATCCACATTCAATAAAATTATGTGGTTTGTCTCATTTGAAGAGCACCTCCCTTTCCTCTGGTGTGTGCACTACTACTACCACTATACCACATCAAATAAGATAACGATAACACATTTATAGAAACAAGAAGATGATTGACTTGACAAACGGCTATGGTTACAGTACAAATAGGTCGACTGGACTGGGCAAGAACCACGTTCGAATAGAATACCAGCGTGAAATAATAGCATAGTGTTGCGTTCCTTGGTATGATGAGTGACGGGAACCGTAAACCCTTTTTACCGATAACGACGCTTTCTATCTTAGTACTCAGGGATGACAACACATTCGAGGATAGCTGGATGATAGCGAGTTCTCATTCGAGGATAACTGTTCATGTTATCATTTAACAAGATAAGAGATATTAACTGGCGATGAGAAGTTTTCAGTCCTCAAAGAATACCTACAACGCACTTGTAATCTTCTAGCTCAACGAAAGAAGAAAGAAATATTGTTTACTCATCATGTACAAGTATTTTGTACATGATGAGTAAAGTATATTTCTTATACATTGTATAATGTATGTATGTATAAAATAAATAATTTATACGTACATACATTACACATTCATTAATTGATGCAGGCATAATACAATAATACTCAGTATACAAAAAAAAAGTGTAGACTATCGCTTACACCATAATAATTACACCTAACTGATTGTATGGAGGACAAATTAAATCGCAATTTGCGTGTTTAATTTGATCGAAATTTGGGAATAATATTTTTTGAAGTATCAAGAGAAGATATTCCGTAATCGTTTACGTGTACAGTTCGAACCTATCGCTGGTATGCTCGGAGGGCTTGCGTGTTCGCCTTCCCCTTCTCGTTCCACCAGACCCCTCTTCAGAAGTCTGCGTGCTTATTTCCGGGCCAAACTTTTCTCCGTAGATCTGAAATAAAACTCTTAATTACTAGCTTACTAGCTTGTCCTATTATGTATTAATGATCACTTTTAAAGTTAACCTTTCTTTTTCTTTTTTTTTATAATAACAGGTTTTGTTGTTGTTGTTAACGTTATTTCTAAATGAATTTTGCTGACCTTTTGTACGGATTTCATGAGTCGAACGGTAGCTCGCATATTTCGACGGAAGCAATAGGGATGGCAAAAGTTCTGATGGCAGCACACGTAGTTGAAGGAATTTAAAAATTTCACCATAACCTGTATACAGAAATGACATAATATTAGGATGATCAATAAGTTTTTGGAAACGCAATGAAACTCTAGGATAAGTATATGTAAACTGTATTTATTTTTCTCAGTAATGGACTTTTAAGCTAATACACCTTGTATTGCGTTTTACAAGTTGGTTAATTCTCTTGCAAATAAAGGCTTGAGCCTGGGACTCGAAAAAGGCCTTTACAGCACATATCATCTCATCGTCGCCGTTGAATTTTATACCACGCAAGTGCTTTTTCACGTAACTAAAAAACTGAAAATCAGTCGGAGCTAGGTTCGGAAAATACGGTGGATGCTGCATCAACTAAAACCTAGCAGTTGGGATGATAGCACCTGCTACATCAAATCGATTTGCCGTGACATACATCTATCCTCGATTATGAATCAAATGCAGATGCGTTGTCACCCCTGAGGACGGCATTCTTAGTTTCCAGTAAAAAGGGTCTCCGTTTCTCTACACTCACCATAAGAAACACAGCAGTATTATGCTGCTATTTTATGCTGGTGTTCTGTGAGAGAGTGGTTCTTCCCCAGTCGGGCCCACATTAATTGTGTTACAACCACAATATAGTGATAGAATCCGAAACGAAAACTATAGAATCTGAGCTAAATAACAGATGGTCATATGTTGATCTATCTTAAAAATTTCTTCGATTTTTTTAACGTTTTCTTGCGTAGCGGCCATTATTGGCCATCAGAAGCCAACAACGGGCGCTATGTGGTGGTTAAGTAACATCATTGCATTTCTTTCTACCGCGTTTAAATTCAGCGCGACAGTATACCATTGTAGACTAAGACGGGACATTGTCTGCCAAAGTTGACTGCAGTTCTTCAAAATTAGAAAAGATAGAAAATTATTTCAGGCGGAAATGTTCAATAACCGCATGAAGTTCGAGATTCTCGATTTTGTATACGAATCCAAATGTGAAGTTTGAAAAAAATTGGGCATAGTTTTTAATTTCGTTTTTTTGGCCTTCGCTACTAAGGAATTTAAGATTCGAAAAAAATGGAACGCATTTCTATAACTCATTGATAAGTGTCATATTTCGAAAACTTATAAACCTAGTATATTATATAATTTTATTTTATTATTAAGATTGTTTTACATTTTTACCCAATTGTTCACACTTTTTTTTAAATTGACTACCTGGTATGTATTAGGGACGCTGTGGACTGTTAATAACGTGAAATATTACCTAGTATTTACAATCATTATATTATAGCCTTCTCCGGCGGGTTTCGTAGCACTCATAGCGAGCTGGCGAGATAGAGTGTAGACGCGCTTCCCCACACCCGACCGCACCCACTGATATAGTCGCCGTTGCATTTGTTTTCCATCAGTGTGCAATATTCACATATTGATGTCGATGATGAATAAAGATGACTTGATGTATGATAATGACTCTCATGTACCGTTTTCAATGGCGTTGTCGCGCTTTTAATTAAATCTGGATACTGGATACACATTGCTTTCAGTGTCACATAGATGTTTAACGGAGGCGGGTGAGACTTAGGTGAGGTACGTGTAGATATGTAATGACATAACTTTTTTTTGTTTACAACAAATGGAATTTATTTACTTTTAAATCACAGTTTGTTGAAATAATACTAGTTTTTACGGAATTTATCGCGTATATTTAACTTTTTAGATACCCGACTGACTGACAGTCCCGCCCGTGACCATGAGTGCTGTAAAGCGTTCGAAACGTCGGGTATTTAAAAAGTTAAATATACGCGATAAATTCCGTAAAAACTAGTATTATTTCAATGTGTAGTGTTCGCGTAAATATAAGAAATCATTATCACAGTTTGTGTTTTGATGTCTTTCCCTGAATTCACATTGTCTTGAGAAAGTGGTTTATCACCAAGCGATAATATGACGGCTATTCGACGGCTTAGAAACAATTATATGCTACAATTAAAGTCTAACGCTATGATGCGTGGAAAAGGACACATTAAGGGGAAATATAATGTCAAATGGCTTAGCAAGATCCTTCGTTATGCCGAAAATATTGCAGCATTCATTTTGAAATAAATATATGGTAAAGTTGAGGATTAATGTTAATGATTATGTTAGAAAAAGTAAATTTTCTCGGAAAAAAATCCAAAGTTACCTCCAAAATAAACAATAAACCGCTGTTATTCATAAAATACTTTAAATAAGATCATGAAACTTTGCATACTAAGTGAACTAACTATAAAGCAGTGCTTATGTTATTTACTTTTTTTAAAATATCATTATTTTCACTGTAAAAAGAAATTACCTAAACTATCGGCGTCTTGAGCTTGATTCCAGTCGCCCCGTTAGTATCGCTTAGGCTTTTGAAGGGAGAAGTTGTGTCGCTTACGATCAGAATATACATTACGCAACAGTACGACGTAAAATTAAAATGGGAAATAACCGTGATAAAAATAAGAAGCGGCTGGATTGGCGTTAAGAAACAGGCATAAATATGATAAACCTAATGAAATAAGTGTCTAACAACCTTTCTACTTACAGTATTAGTGATTACAAACATATCGGTACATAGCATACGACGCGCGGGGAAGTGGGGGCGAAATTAGAATTTGAGCTGACTTACTCTATCCTCTTAACTTTCTAATTTATTGGGAACAATTTGTGCCTCGTTCACTTTTTGTCCCGCCCGTAAATCATCAGCAATTTTGAAATCCCGAGCTTTTTAAAACATAATGTGCATGTATTACACGTACAACAAAGAACAAACCACCATCGTGATATAAACACCGTAAGTTTTACAAAGGATTGTATTTTATTGATAATGTAAAACGGCTTGACACGGTGAAGGTATAGAGGCGCACCTTGAGCCAAGGGAATCCCTTGCTGCTGTCCGGGGGGTCAGTGGAGTTGCTGTCGGGGCTGTCGGGCGGGTGATCGTGCTCGTCCGACAGCACGCCGGGGCTCTCTTCGCCGCCGCTGTCCATCTCGCTAGGCATTATCACTGTGCCTAAGGGTTTTTAAACGGAATGGGTACACTATATTGGTCGCCACACGGTCAGTTCAACTGATCACCAGGTGTTCAAAGTAAAACTGCTGATATTTTTTTAAAATATTGGATTTTCGATATATCGATAAATAAACTTATATATAAAACTCCGATATTGATATATTTATAATTATCAATATATCGATAATTCAATATTTAAAAAAATACTAACAGTTTTAGTTTGAACTGATCAGTTAAACTGACCGTGTTTGGCGTCCATATGATTATTAACTGGTGGACTCCTTTCAATTTCCCTTTTTTGCCAATTGGCGGCAGCGCAAGAGACTCCATAATTCCATTTCATTCCGTGTGTTGTACCAAGCTACTAGGGAAAAAATAAGAAAAGCCTAAAGGCCTCTGATAAATAGCGATGATAGTGCGAGACATCTGGTACTATCGCCAATCCAATTGAAGCAAATCCTTTTGGTGAGAAATGACAGACATCTGTAGTTGTATTCTTTTGAAGTTAATTGTAGGTATTCATGTGCTACATTAACCATTTACCTCCAAATAGACTGTTAGCTGTTACCAATATTACAAAAAAATATAAAATCAGATGTTAAATGTATCCAAGTTATCAAGACAATTTATGTTTTAACAAATTGTTGGCTCCAGCTGGGATATGACGATGGGATGGGTTGGGATGGGAAACGATCAGGATTCGCGATACAGTAGCTCTGGTACTCTGACTAATCTTGTCGCATACGGAGTTATACCGAGCACGGAGCTTTTAATTAATTAAGATTGCTCAGGCGGATCGCCGTTGTTAATAAAAGAAAAGTCTATTAGCGGATTTCCTAACAGTAGTCATAATAAGTTTTTGTTAATAAGTAGATTCGAATAATTTATTATATAAAAATAATAGAATTGATAAAAAAAAATTGACAGAATTGTATAAAAATTAATGTATTGCATAATATGTTGATGGGTATAACATTACGTACCTGTACCAGGAAAAATTTCAGAAGTATCGCTTCTATCGGAGAGCGAAGAAACCTTCCTGCGACTTTGTATTGAATCCGATCTGCGTGTTATGACTGAAAGAAATAATTATTTATGTAATATTAGCACAGAAAAAGAAATACAATAATGAGTCTGGGTTGTTCTGATACTGAATACTTAATTAAAATAAAAAAAGTATAATGGTAAGAGTATCTGCTGTCGTGTCCCGGTTTGTCGCAACGAAGCTAGTGTACTACAGTACCCGGCGATAAATATTGCACATCGACCTTTGGAAAGAGACAATCAGCTAATTTCGGCTTCGTACAGCGTTATCTCTGTCGCACACTACCTATGTGACGTTTTGACGTTCGACCTAATAGAGACCGAAATTAGCTGATTGTCTCTTTCCAAAGGTCGATGTGCAATATTTATCGCCGGGTACTGTAGTAAATTTAACATACCACCTTAGACCTTACAAGTAAAAAATGTTGAAGTTGCTAGTACGTTCTCTATTTTCATTTTAAGTTATTAAAAATCAATGACTTATTAACAGTGTTTAGCTAGGGCGCTGAAAACTATGGGTCCGATTTCTTATTTACAGTCAGAGTATTTTTATGCCTACTAGTAATTTGTGTTCAGGTATTTATCCATTTTTTTAACACAGTTTTAGTAGCTTCGCGTGTATCTATCCATCTATCTATGTAACGGAATCTTTTAATGTAATATTACTAAGTTGTAGACGCCCGATTGACTTGAGAATTCGCACTCGTATAAAATATCGATGACAATGCAATAATTTAATGACTTTATCCTAGTATCATAATCAGGATCATCAAGGTAAAATAAAATAATTATCAGGAGCATCACAGTTAAACTTAAAACAACTCTACAGTGTAGAATAAATGCCTAATAACAAAAAAAAAATAAAGCTATTCAATGCGTACAGTCATCTACTTCGCGCGTATCTTTCTGTCGCAGTTTGATGGAGCGCCTTTTGAAGGAGCCGTACGCGGAGTGCGTTTGCTGCGTATTGCGCCGGTGCATTCCCTTACCGCGGGATCCGAGGCGACCTTTCTTCTCATCCACCATTGTACTCGGTATCGCGTCCGCTAACTGTCGAAAAGTATATTTAATTTTATTCAATAGTCCACTTGTAGGAAATGGCCTAGCTCAATTGGGAAGATGTGCCGTGTTTATCCACCACAGTTGCAGACTAACACTTTTGAGGCTGATAACGATGACGTCTTAGTTTGTGACGGCGTAATGATCGCGCTACAATTGTAAAACAACAATAATTTCGACGAGCCCAGTGTCATAATTTTTGTTGTTATTATTTAAAATTTGTAGTCTTCTTTTAATTTCTTTTAATTTTAAAAATTGTACTATACTATGGCCAACGAGAAGCGATACCGAATGTAAATAAAACCAATGCAAGGTTATTAGGAATAGCAGGAGTGCGTAACTTTTTGATAGTTAGATTATATATTTAAGTAGACAATAAAGTTTAAGAAAAAATGTATAGCAAACCAAAAAATAGACTTTTTATAATTTTTTTTTAAATTTGAATTATTGTATAATACAGATTTAAATTAAATAAATGCTTTCTGCGCCATCTCTTTTCTGTACGGGTATTTATCATTAGGCCAAGTTTCTTTAACATATCTAGTCACCTAAAATTAAAAATTTAATTAAAATGATATACATACTTTACTTACACGCATCTTTAATAAATTAAGAAAAGTTTTATTTTTACCGTTTCTGAACTTTAACTTTAAGATAACTTTAAAGAACATTCCGAACCAAGAAGTTTTAATTAAAACTACTAAACAACATTCATATATTATATCCTATTCTTATACATACATACCTTTGGGTGTTTCTTTTTCGCAGAATTAAAATCTGTTGATTTATCTCTCGACGTACTTGGTGCACTCTTCATAAAAATCAATTATCAACAAAACAAAATAATAATATAAAGAACAATTACTAAAATGGCGTCCCGAATGTTGACGAACCCGTCTTGACCCTTACATGTTTTTGCCGGGAAAACGAGACATTACGACAAATACACAAGATGGAAAGAGATAGATAATAGATTGTCAACTCTACAGTCGTTTTTAAGGTAAATGACCTTTCGTATCGCTGCTAGTTGGCCGTACTATAGATATATTATTGACATTACTAGTATGTCCATTAATCTGCAGTTTATGGCAACAGACAAATGGCGGGGTCGAATCCACGGCTTTAGTTTCGCAGATTGGCGAGACTTACGTACCGCGTTGTAAAGTGGGCGTAAAATTTTCATAAAATTTTTTTTGGTCGACTTTTACAACTTAGCTCAAAGGTCGGTTATCATCATCGTCATCTTCATTACGGCTCTTCACAGATCCACTGCTAAACATAGATCTCACCCAAGGAATGCCACAAAGCACAGTCGTGAGCCACCTGCATCCATCGACTTTCTGCATCTTTTGCTATGTTGTCACTTTATCTAGTGGGTCGCATACATCGCTCATTAGTTTACTGATCTGTTGAGCTATGTCAGTTACTCTGTTTCCACCGCGGATATCCTTATTCCGAAATATATCCCGTAAATACTCCGAGCATAGCCCTCCCTATGGCTCACTAAGCCACCTTGAGCTTCCTCATAAGGCCAGCAGTGAAGGATATTGCCTACCGATCTACCCTTACGAATGTGTGCGTGAGCAGTGAAATCAATTAACATAATGCGTTATCACGCATTTTGAATTTAAAAGATAAAAAGGACAGAATGTTTCACAATTCTTTTAATTAATTTTTGTTTATCATTTGCCTATATTACTCATTTTGAACCTTCTCTTCAAATTTGGCCGATTATTACAAAATATCCCTGTATAATACTCGTATTATTTCACGCGGTCAACACTCCATTTAGTTAACGGCGGACCTTCAATACTAAATCCTTTTTTCCTCATTATAGGATAGGTTCCTCAGTCTTTTGTATTCGGGTTTGGGTTAGGCATATTTGGATAGATTTTCCACTATCTAGATAGAGCTAAGATCGCTAACTATTAAGTCTAAAGAAAGAAATATATTACGGTAACATTGCTTTCCCCGGAGACGTTTTCAGGTTCGTGCAGGACGAAAGAAATTTTCCTTTCAGTTTCCGCACCGGCAATAGATTGCAGACTCTGCGCCGACGCTTGTGAGTGCCCCATACTTGACAGTGCCATGCTCCATCGGCGATTTGCCTCCCTGAATACCAACAAATTGTTTAAATACTAGTTAAATGTTATACAATTTTAATTTCTAATCGCATATCTCTTGAGTAGCTAATAGGACTTCTAAATTTTTGTCTTAAATCTTTAAAATTAGATTTCATTATTTTGTAATATACATGCCAATGTAGCAAAGCGATTTATTTGTTTAGTCACTAGATTTTTTCTAAAATCTATTTTTACACTATTTTGATAAAAGTGGTGAGACTAAGATATATCAGTGTGTTGTGGTGCCTTTGTATTATATTAATATTATTCATAGTACCTAAAGGTGCAAGCTAAAAGCAGTTATGTATCCGTAGGACGGGATAATATGTAGGGGGGCCGCTCATATAAAATAAAAAGATATCTTTAAACTTAATTATTTGTTATTTTAAGACTAAGTTTATTTACGAGACAGTTTATAATAATACGAGTAATCGTGCCTATAGTACTTAAAATCTCCATGCATTTCAAGTTACTTAACTTTTTTAAATAATAACTATATAATTTTAAATATTATTCATTTCACGGGTTATCGCAGAACAGCATTCGTAAGATTGTTAAATCAAATTGTTACTGAAAGTTTACGGAGGTGACACCATATAATTAAATCATACAAGTGTCTACGATATTGCATTTTAATAATTTTCTGAAGTATTGTCGCTTACTCAATAAAATGTAATATTGGAATTTTGTGGTTTTGGATTAATTTTGAATGTATAGCAAGTCCCGAAAGCGAACATTAGAAAAATAGATATGGGAGTTAAGGCGACTCACGAGAAATCCACCGCTGAGGAAAATCTCATCGATACGAGATGCGAGTAAAAGAGAGGGAGTCTTATATTTATAATTGTAAAGTAACAGGCAATAAATATTTGTAATAATACGGTATGATGTGTCCTCTGCAAAAATCAGGCAAAAGTAGTTTTGACAAAGCACGTTTGTCAATACCACTTTTAACCAATTATATTGGGTAATAGTGATTTTGACCAAATTGTATCGGTTAAATGTAGTTTTGACCAAGTATTAGTTTACAGTAAAAACTACTTTAGACTAATATTTTGAATTTTTAAAATAAAAAATTTCAATTCTTACAATATTATATTTTATATCCTCATAATGTACGCCGCTTTAGGGTGGCCTAAAGATCAATAGTCTGAACTTTTAATCCGGCAAATCCGCTTTTGAGTAAGAACATTAGTCAAACCCATAGAATACTATAATACACAACAGAATGGCTGTCAACTTTATTTTTTACGAGGATCTGTGTCGCCGGGAGCACACATACAAGCAATTACGTCGTATTATCAATACTACAAACCCGATTCGCTGTATTGACAGACTGAGCGAATTTACACAAATTAGACTTTTGATTAATGTTTTTGACACATCAATATTTCTTAATTTTTGTTTCTAATATTTACAAAATATAAATAGCTTCGACTTACTGGTTGTAGGATATGTCTCCTTTATTTAAATTCCATTTCCCGCTATTCTTTCAACACGCAATTAATGCACAATTTGCCATTTTTTTAATAATTTGCATGCAGCGACGCTTGGCACGAAAATTGGAAACGATTGATTGTGTTGACATTTATAGGTGTGAATTGACATGTTAGTGGCTACACGGGCTCCGCCTACTCCCCCGTTCAATTATGTATGTATTATAGTATTCTATGGTCAAACCCACTTATAACTAAGAAAGTTGGTTAAAACCCCTTTTGACTACAAAAATCTGTCAAAACTGTTTTGAACTGAAGACATCGGTCAAAACCTTTTTTGCGTGATTTTATCAGTCAAAAGTGGTTCTGATTGGTTATGAGTTTTAAATGTAACATATATACACACTGCCGGTGCGACGTTATTTTCTTTTCCGAACTTGGCTGACACACTGTCGTGTGAATTATTTCTGAGTCTATAATTAACATTTCTATAGTAATAATTTCTAAAAGTAATCTAAGGGTGATACCACATCACCTAATGGTAAGTGGATGCCGTATCCCATTGACATATACATCCATTCCTGATTAAGAATAAAAATGCTAATGAGTTGTCACCTCATCGTGAGGACTAGGATGGAAACGTTTCTAATAAATAGGGAATCAGGTTTTTTCACTCACCATATAAAAACACACCAACATTAAGCTGCTATTATATGCAGGTATTCTGTGAAAGCCTGGTCCTTCCCCGGTCCGCCGTTCGTGCTATAACTTTATATCTCCAGCATGGCTCTACTGCGTATGATCATGGCATATCCCTGCCATGGACCGCACTACTCCCAGCTCATGAACCATTAGTTTAAGCTTAGTTATGAGTATTAGCTCAGAATACTTTATAGTACAAGGAATAGAAGTACTTAAAATCCTTTTAATAAATAGCGACGCTTATTATGGCGTAATAAAGTGCAATTCAGCTCACTCAGCGCTAAGGGTCTAATATTTTATTCACCTACAAGGCGCCACTCTTTCTATCGCGTAACTCTCGGTGTTTCACCCACGTGCCTCGGAAAGCACGTGAAGCCGTTGATAGGCCTAATCTCTCTCCGGTCGTGTCAGATTACTGCCTCATCAGATAACGAGTGTCAGGGCATAGTGTACCTATTTGTGCTTGCGCATACACTTGGGCACTACAAGGCTGTCCTGAGCAGATAGCTACTTAGCCTCTGTTGAAACTGGCCGCCGTGACAGAAATTCGGTTTGGAGGACATAAATCGCGTAACTCTTATCTCTTCGGACGCGGCACCTAAGGACTTACGTGCATTTCGGGCGGCAACCCACTTAAATTGGCCCGACGATGTACTTATGGCTTTGTATAGTACGTTAAGTGCGGAGTGCGTGTAACCCGGTACTAGTGTCAGTAAGGCTGATAGAATTGCTATATAATTATTTATGTTACATTTTTTTATTTAAACTTGAACGAATTATCATTCAATAAATATATGTCACACATTCCGTGTTATAAAGTGCGTTTTTAAGTTTTACCCTCAACTTGCCAAAAGAGTTGTTAATTAAGAAATGCAAATAAAATAAGAAAATGGTTTGTACTGTTCTGCGGAACCTCGATTTGTACTTATAAAAGCTTAAATTGTTACTATAATTTTGTAAATTTCACACACTAAATACATGCACGCTTGGTGCAGAATGTAAATGAACATGCATTACTTCATTTAAACACATACTCGACTGGCACTAATGTCTGTTGACTGCTAAGAGCCCTGTTAAAATAAAATAAAAATCTCGTCAAAAAAATGTACACTTCATATAATATCACTTCAAATAAATATAGCTCGGTAACTCACATATTTTTACAAAACAAACGTCGTTTTCGTATCCATCTTCGAAAAAAATAAAAATAATCATTTTTATATGGAAAGCGAAGTAACAGCTACTCTGCAATAGTATAAGGAGATAGTGTACTTACCTGTACACCCTATCCCAAGGGCCACGTTCTTTCAACGAAGATCGACTCGATTTGGGTAGATTTTGGTAAGTTTCGCGAAGAAAAGCTGTAATTTCGAACAGCAGTGTGCAAGCAACTAGTCTTAAAGCTCGGGGACATTCGGCACCGATTGTCTTCCCAGGAATGCGAATGCTTGCTGTTAGTAAGATACAAAAACATAGAAGACATAACTATAACTGATGTTAGTGGAGGCTAATGTAGATCAAATTATGTTAGAGAGGTTATATCATCAAGCGATTATATCAAAAAAATCTTTGGTGATTTTTAAAGATTGATTCAAGTGCGGCTTAGTGTAAAATAAATCGCAAAAAATAAAATCATGAATACAAGTACCTTCGTCAAGGAAATCCTCTTCTTCATCCTGTTGCAATAGTTCTCGTTGGCCGTCTGGGTCCGTTACCAGAGAAACGACATTATCCAGATGTTTTTTATCCTCTTCCAGCATTTCCTCTAATCTGTTTCCAATAGCCTAAAATAATTATATTAATAAAACACTTTGAAATTTGTTTAAAGTAAAAGTAAAGTAAAGTTACAGCCTATATACGTCCCACTGCTGGGCTCAGGCCTCCCCTCATTTCTGAGAGGGTTTAGGGCAAGGATGTGTCCGCCGCGCTGCCCAAATGCGTGTTGACGAACTTCACATGTCTTCGAAATATTTTTTTTCCTTATTCTTAACATGCAGGTTTCCTCACGATGTTTTCCTTCACCGTCGAGCACGTGGTAAATCAGCACTTAAAATTGCAATTAACAATTTCATTGGTGCCGGCGGGCATCGAACCCGGGTTATTCGCGTTCTGTTATATTTACAGCGAGCGTTAACCACTGAGCTACCACGGCTGAATTTGAAATTTGTTTATAGAAACTAAATAAAAACTAACAATATGAACTTACTTCCGCCCATTGGTAAAAAAGTTTTCCGGCGAGACGTCTTCTTAGCTGTGGACTTGCTGACACTGTTGAAAATTTTGATTTACATTATTATAAAAAAATAGAAATTCGAAAATGACTTGTATAATTAAAAATAACAAAACCATTAAAATACTTTAAAATGTTGAAAACTTAAAAGGATTCAGAGGAGTCAAATGTGACCGCACCCACCCACAGCACTTTAACCCATAATCCCTTATGTTTAGAGACTACTTTTCTATGAAGAAGTTTGGCATTATAGAATCAATATGAAATTTCCTATCCTCTAGTGGAATAGAAAGTCAGTTAGTCTATGGATATTTATTTATAATCTACGTTCATTTCGTAAGCCATTTTCGTGTGAATGTTATTGTGTTGATTTTTGGATTTTTCTAGTGTTTTATAAGTGTTTTAGTATAATGTTTTATTAAAAATTTTAAAGAAAGTTTTTGTGTGAATTTAATTTATATTTTTACGTAAATAACTTCGAGTAATATACAGAAATAATTGCACGCTGCCGACAACTGCTTGATATGTTTTTTTTGTTATCAAAATAAAATAAAATCTTTTTGTAATGAAGGAAAATCTGACTTTTGTTTAGACCACAGAATAGAGATTTTTTTATAGATTTTATAATACTAAACTTCTTTATAGAAAAGTAGTCTCTAAATATAAGTTTTAATGGTTTAAAATGCTGTGAGTGGGTGCGGTCGAATGTGACCGCTCGAGATTTGACGAACGCATGCAACTGCATGGGATTTTTATGGGGATTGAAAGTTTAAATAAGACAACAGACTTTGGCATATTATGTCACTTTTAGTTCCCAGGACTGAAAATGGTGGCGCTTCAAATCGGCACAGACATTTGGTATGGTACAGCCAGTCCAGCGTACTTGTGCATATAGAGGTCAGTGTTTCAGAGTAAAGTTGAATAGAGAGTTCTTATGGTACAAACACATATCTTAATACAATGTTAAGTCGAGAGCTACTTACGAGAATTTTTGATCACATTAGATTTCAGCCAATTGGGCCACTGACCCTTATTACAATTGTGCACTAGATGAGCGCATTCCAGTAGGACAGCAGCACGTGCCACGACGACGGTATAAGGCTGAAACAGAAGTAATAAAATTGAATTCATCATTAATAACTTCGGTACTCTAGGTTTTCGATTCAAATCTCCCGTGTCTTGCCACGAAACAGCTAAGAAACCTTGCGTAGTCAATTTGTCGGCTAACGGTAAACGACTTGAACAGTCATGAACTCGATAAAAAAGATATTACCTTTATATCTGTGATAACTTTCATTGAAATAGAAACAGAAACTTTTTTATTCAATGTAGATTATAACAATACTTATTGAAAGTCAATTTTTTCATTTACCACTGGTTCGCCAAAAAACCTCTGTCCTGGGAAGAACCAGCAAGAAACCAAGCGGGACTTTTTTTTTTTCAATAATAGCTTACAATCATGTTTACAATTATAGTTCATAAAAGATAGCTTGATCTCTGCGACAGCTGTCAGTAAAATCACGCTTATGAAGTCCTGAATTTCTTAGTAGTACAGACAGTACCTGTCAATGTCATACTTTATGGGCATGCCGACTAATTAGGTCGCGCAATTGACAGGTACTGTCTGTACTACTAAGAAATTCAGGACTTCATAGGCGTGATTTTACTGACAGCTGTCGCAGAGATCAAGCTATCTTTTATGAACCATAACAACACTAGACAAATTAGAAATAGCTTGGCAGCGATCACCCTTCACAGGGGTTATTATCATCCATAAATTCCTTAATATTATAATAACCCTTTTTATACAAACTTAGTTTAATAACATTTTTGAACTTTGTGTATGACAAATTTTGTATATTTTCTGGGATTTTGTTGTAAAAGCGTATACATCGTCCCAAGAATGAATTACTGACTCGGTGGAGTCGACTTATTCACTTATTAATCACATTCTATCAAAATTCATTGCAGAACATAGGCCGCCCCATGGATTATCTCGTAAGTAGGATATGTCATATGTATGCCATAGTTGCCACGCTTAATCATGCCGCGGCCTTGTCGCCATTCTAACAAGGCTGGAACTTTTCTCGTTATTCAGCGATGAAACGCAACCAGCGTTCTTTGCACTACATCGCGGGGAGAAGGACATCAAGGTTCACCTATTACACTCAATTTTTTAAGTGAAAGTTTGCAAGCGTGTGTGAGAACGATAGATCGTCCAACTATATGGATCTTTTTTTTAAATAGCATATTGGTGACAAGTTAGTCGTGACATCGAGACGAAAATACAGTCCACTTGATGGTAAGTGGTTGCTGTGGCTTATAGACACTTACATCTATTCTTAATCAAGAGTGAAATTGTAGATGCGTTTGACTGGCGAGAAATGAATACCTCGTTACCATTAAAAAGAGTCTCTAACTATATGAAACTCAGTAGTATTAAGCTGCCTGAACGATGAAAACAAGTGCTAATAGTTCACATGCACTGATCGAATAAATCGCAACAATTTTTCATATCAACTTACTTCACACCATTATTCAAAGGATAAAAAGAAAAAGGAGCAGCAAAGAAGTCTTAGAAATAGCAGCTTAACGATGTTTGTATAGGGTGTATAGTTTCGTATGGGGAGTGTAGAGAAACATAGACCCTTATTACTAGAAAATGAGGTATTTCACCTTAATTTTCAAGGGTGACAGAGCATTAGCATTTCAATTCTTAATTAAAGATAGATGTAGGTGGCTATGAGCCACAGTATCCACTTATTATCAGGTCAAACTTCTAGTAATTATGTAAATAGTATATAGGAGGGGTGCTGACGAGGTCGAGCAGCGCCTGCATGAAGAGCGCGTCGGGCGTGGCGCCGGGCTGCGTCGCGTCGAGCAGGAAGGCGAGGCGCGCCAGGCCGGCGTGCAGCGGCGCTGCGCACACCAGCCGCCGCCGCTTCAGCACCACCACCTCCGACTCGCCGCCGCCCGACCCGCCCTCGCCCGACCCGCGCCGCGACGTCACTGCACCGACAAGGACAACACCACCACCATCTCTCTTATACATATACAATAATAATAAATAAATAAAAAAAAATGTTTTATTTCAGTAAATCTTTTACAGTTACTTTGCCGAGAAAGTAAGCATATGAGAGTACTTGTGTATAAACTTAGATTTACATCAAAATATAAAAATTTTAACTTAATAGTACATTTATTCATGCAGTTTAAAATGAAAGAAAGAAGCTTAGGAGAAATGCATACCTAAGTATAAATATACAAATACACAATATACAATAAAATTATTCTTAAAGTAGTAAAGTTACAGCCTATATACATCCCACTGCTGGACACAGGCCTCCCTCATTTCTGAGGGGGTTTTAGGGCTAGGAAATTGTACGCCACGCTGCCCCAATGTGTGTTGGCGAACTTCACATGTCTTCGAAATATTTTTTTTCTTATTCCTCAGACATGCAGGTTTCCTCACGATGTTTTCCTTCACCGCCGAGCACGTGGTAAATCATCACTTAAAATTGCAATAAACAATTTCATTTGTGCCGACGGGGATCGAACCCGGGTTACTCGCGTTCTGTTATATTTACAGCGAGCGTTAACCATTTGCTACCACGGCTCATTGTAAAATTATTCTTAATGAAAGTTATTTTTATATTTCTTTCTATGGCACAGGTTTTTTCCGAATCAGTGGGATTCGGAAAAAACCTGTGTTTTCCGAATCCACTTAGAAAGAACCAGCAAAAAAAAACCAGCGGAATATTTTTTTACCTTCAAGCGAGCGCGCGATCATTTGAAACGACGTCGCGGTCGTGCGTAACCTAAAAGAGCTATGATGAATGCTAAAGAGAATGAGCTAGATATGTCAGAGATTTAAAACAAAGAAAGCAATTTAGCAACACAAAATCATCTTTTAAACCAACTAGCTCAATAAATATATAATACAATCAAAATAATACAACCAATTGTCTCCATGAAATATTTAAAATCAAAGAATTTATCATCAACTTAGGTTTAGCTTAATAATTTTTAATATAAAGTCGAGGAAAGAGTTTCTTCGTATTTTATATACAAATTCCAGACATTTTTTTTCAAAGCTTAATTATATTTTATTATAATACATATGTGCCATTTCATACGATAACTTTTTTGCCATCCTGTAGATAGTGACATAATCCCATTGCTGTAGAAATGTTGGAATTTTTGATCAAAACTATGCGACAAGTAGTTTTGACAGTCCTCTTTTGAAGTTAACCTAACACTACCCAAAGAATTCTGAAAAGACCGAAACGGGTGAAAATCTGAGGGGCAAGCAAGGACTATATAGTGAATGCATTAACACTTTCCAACCAAGCCCTTTCAATTTTTATTGAGTGGCCAAAGATGTGTGTGGCGTTATCATGATGAAAGACCTCTCCTTTTCTGTTGATCAATTTCAGCATAGCATCACCTTATTGCGTGTTCATCTAGGCTTCACTACTGTCTGTGGAGCCTGACTACCATTTGACCAGGGTTTTTTTCGAACATTCTTATCGTTTGTGACCTACTTTTCATCACCAATGATCAATCTTTTCAAAAATGGTTCGGTTTCACTACATTTCAATAGAGAATCGCAAATGAGTACACATCAAAACTGTTTTATGGGCAATCCTAAATAATCCATCGAGTATGTCGTACCTACTAATATGCCTAATATATGTATGAAGGCGACCAGAGCGGGCTGCATCTTTGACATCAAAATTCCCGAACTGAAAACGCTTGAACCAACTTTGTACTACTCTTATTGATACTGCATTAGGTCCATAAATGTCACAAATTTTTTTTGCGGCTTGAGTCGCATTTTTTCCTTTTTGTACATATTAGGTTCAAGCGTAAGCCTGACAACCTACCGGGCCCAAATGTGAATATAGACCATCTACGGACCCATTCAACACACAAAAAAGTCTATAACGGACGTAGGTAGAAACATTTTTTGTTTTATATAGATAGATATATAATAATTAATTACGTATTAAGAGTTGGCAAGCGATAGTATACCTTTTTGTATTTAAAAAAATCTAAATACCTACATGCTACAGATGGAATGCTTGAATTTAATAGTAAGTACCTGGATGACCGAGCTTTGCTCGGATTTTTTTTGAAATCATGTGTTTTGGAAATTATATTAGATACAAATTGCATACTGACGAAATATGAATAAGTAATAATTTTTAATCTTACCGACATAATAGAGAAAACTGAACTGGTGGAATAAAAAATCATGAGTGCAATTAGTTTAATTTAAATTTTCATGTTTATAAAAAAATACTTTAAAAAAGGGCTCAAAATAATAGATTTTCTCAAAAAAAAAAAAAGGGAACTTTAAAAAAAAAGGAAAAAATATCGGACCGAAGACAGGATTCGAACGAAGGTACTATGGTTTCAGGACCGTCCGATCTCCCATTTGAGCTATTATAATGATTATTACATTGTTAAAATTTACTTTCTTATTCTAACAATATTGAAGCAGTTTTTCATTGCTTGAAAACACGGATAAAACAAAATTTTCTGAAAATAAATCTAAATCTATCTAGCTAGATCGATTTATTGCCCCCCGAAATCCCCTTTTTTTTTTAACATGGGGAAATGCCTACGCATACCCGCCTCGCGGGGGGCAAGGACGGGTTATGTCGGACTCGCACCGTCTAAAACCCCATGGTGTTCCACCTTCGTCGCATATTGGAAGGGCTACGGGAACGCTTTCGCACACATCCGCGGCCCCACCAGCGACTGCCGCCCCATGGCAGCACGTCATCGGGAGAGGAATATTCCTCCCCGTTCTCCTTTCCAAGTAAGGCGCACCAGAACACATGGCACGCCTTCCTCCACGGCCTCCAATTACATCTGCGCAACAGACGCCCCCCGCGTCCGATGCGCGACGGCCATTGGGCCAGGAAAAACGAGCACTTAGAAGTACTAGCCTTCCCGACCCCAGCGGCGGATCTGGTCTATGGCTCCGCGGCCAACCAAGATTCGGCTGCGGAGGGTAGGGAGAGCGGCGCCTCGCAATACCGACAATCCTCTCCCCCCGCAGCCCCATCACCACCGCATCAACGGTGCGGCCCCGTTTGAGTCGCGGAGGATAGGGCGAGTGGCGCATCGCCATACCAACACTTCTCTTCCTTCGCGACTCCACCTCGACTGCAGTGGTAGGTGGGGAGGACACACCTCTCACCGCAGTCCACCAACACACATCCGAAGTGGGCTTCCCAAGCCCACTCGGAGTGGCCACCTCGGGCTGGCCCTCCACCTCGGACCAGCCATATGGGTTCCTCTTTGTTTCGCCGTGGGTGACCAAGCCACGGCTTCTAAGCCCCCCGCCACGACAAGGCGGGAACCCGTTCGGGGGGGCCCCGAAACCCCCCTGGATACTAAATTTTATGAAAATCGTTGGAGCCGTTTCCGAGATCGGAATCTCGGGAATACACAAGAGTTGCTCGTTTAAAGGTATAGGATACAGAAGCTTCATATAAGCATATACATTTTAAAAATCTCACTTACATCCTCCAGAAGTTTCTTCTACGCTTCCATCTCTTTTCTTTCCCATTTTTCGAAGGCCAAATCTATTTAATCTGTCTTCAACTCGTTTTCTCGCCCTGAAATAAGAAAAACTGGATATTAAATTTCTAACCAATTTAAATGTTTTCATTTTGTTTACGGTATTTTCTGGTTATTCAACTAAAACTAGTTATTATATAAGGTGGGAATAATATTAAGTGTCGGTGTATTGCACTTTTGACATCTTTCGATGTAAGTTTCAACGTTCAAAATAATACCGTTTGAAATAATAAAGTTCTATGTAAAAAGTGTAGACTGTAGATAAAGCAAAAAAAAAAAGGTTTTTTCTTGGTAAATTATTGCATTTGATGATATCGTGAAATACAACATATTATCCAAAGATTGCCAGCGACACCACCCTGCCAGCACGTCACGAGAGCACTGAGCATGTCACCTGTGCAGCGTGTGTCCGACGCGACGCTTCACGTGCACGGGGCGTGCGGCGAGCTGCGGGCACGCCAGCGACACCACGCTGCCAGCTCGTCACGTGAGCACTGAGCACGTCACCTGTGCAGCGTGTGTCCGACGCGGCGCTTCACGTGCACGGGGCGCGCGGCGAGCTGCGGGCGCGCCAGCGACACCACGCTGCCAGCTCGTCACGTGAGCACTGAGCACGTCACCTGTGCAGCGTGTGTCCGACGCGGCGCTTCACGTGCACGGGGCGTGCGGCGAGCTGCGGGCGCGCCAGCGACACCACGCTGCCGAACTGCGGCAGCGACTCGCCGGAACCGCCACCGTTGCGCGCCAGCGGAGCCGGCTGCGGCCGCGCGCGGAACCACTTCACTGTACGCAACATTTTCTCTAAATATTAGCTTAAACTATCCTACTTACATTGTCTTATGTTTGTAATTTGTATAGCACTATCTCACGGCCTCACGGCTTACGAAACAATTCATTCTAACAGTAGTAAGCGATCAATAGCTTTTGGACAAAGTAGCACAAGACCACGGCTATCCTCTGTACATCACTATGAATAATAGATCGGAGAAAAGGTTTTTTCGTATTCTGTTTGTATCAAATTGAAGAAAAACATCTTTGATTGTATTCTTTGTATTTGGCTGAATTTAACCTGTAAACCAAGCCATGCGCACTTTTGATCGTACAATACCTACCTTACGTCCGCCAAGTAGTGCGCTAATTTGATCAGAATTATGTAAACGTGTGTACCTATGAAAAAACTATTTTTTCGTTTTAAACAAAACCAAAGAGACTATGCAATAGATAATAGTATCAAAGACAAAGATATGCCCTTTTATTTTAAACCATAACCTGGCAATTTTCTTAGAAAAAAAAAAAGAAATCACTCTGAACTTTCGGCGTTCCACGTGTCGTTTTGATGAAGGTGCTCCGTCTTTTTTTATAGAATTTTATATTTGTGTCTGGACTAAAAACGAAAGTATTATACTTTTTTATATTCCTTGTAATATAGTAAACACGTAGATATATAATTTGTGGTATAAAAAGTGAAAAGTAAATTGCCAAAAGTACTTCAAAATCCGGAAGCTCCATTTTGGCGGTTGGGTCATAAATGTGTTATTTTCCAAATTCTCATTTATTTTTAGTGTAAAATGTAAGTAAAAATAGTTTTCTTACATATTTCAAATAACTTGACGTTGTATTTATTTCAAATTCACACAAAAATATGTTTGAAATATTGTTCGAAATTTTATACAGATAAAATATTATTATTATTTTTTTTAATTTTTTAATATTTTAATATTTTGGTATGAGTAACGAATGGAAACACATAAAACATAAAAATATACATATTTCCAAACATTTTCATATAATTTTCTCTAAAAACAAAGGTGTAGAATTCAAATTAGTAGTAATTTTGTCACTAAAATTGAAGTATATACTACTACTATGCTATACAGGGTAATTTACGTATTTTATTACAATTTATAGCAACCAAAAATAATTTTATTCGATAGTTTATACATTCAACAAGAATTCCTGTAAGTTTTATCCATAAATATTGTCTCAAAGTGAAAATATAGCAAAATTTGCAATATAGCAAAAAATTTGCTAATTTGCAAATTTTCCCGCCATTACGGTCCCGAGCGAACGGGAGTATAACATGTCGCGCGCTGTCAGAGCTTATCAATACATGAAGGACATTACAAAAATAAGAGTAAAAAGTAAAAAAAAACACTTTCCCGCCATTTTTCAATTGTTTTTCTGTCGGTAAAATCTAGTGAATCTAACGAATAAATTCGATACATTCTGAAGTTTTATTACAAAAAAAGGAAAAATGCAACTCAAGCCGTGAAAAAAATTTGGGACATTTATGGACCTAATGCAGTGTCAATAAGAGTAGCCCAAAGTTGATTTAAGCGTTCGAGAATTTTGATGTCAAAGATTCAGCTCACTCTAGTCGCCCTTATACGGATAAAGTCGATGCCATTTTTGAAACAGCGGGGCAAGATTGTCATATTAGTAGTTAGGACATAGCCGGTGAATTGAGGATTGATTACAAAACAATTTTGACCCATTAAAAAGTCTGGCTATACAAAAAAGCTCGATATTTAGGAACCACACGAGCTCACTGAAATAAATCTAATGAATCACGCACTCATTTGCGATTCTCTAATGATGAAACCCAATCTTTTATGAAAAGATTGATCACTGGTCGTCACTAATGATCAATCTTCGATTCGGATCTCTACTGCCAACATCTAATGATATCCAAGCAAGAAATTAAGAAAAAAAAACTTTGTTAGGAAGTGTTAATGCATCCACCATATAGTCCTGATCTTGCACCCTCAGATTTTCACCTGTTTCGATCTCTTCAAAATTATTTGAGTAGTGTTAGGTTAACACATAGATTATATATAGTATAGTAGTAAAAATATAATATAGTATATAAAAATACATATAATATAATAATATAGTATTTACTACTACTACTACTACTAAAGTATGCAAGCAGACAAAAAATTTACTACTATATACATAGTTTTAGTTATATACATTGTTTTATTTTAATTTCAAATAAAAATTGTTCAATTTATTATTTATCAATTGTTCGGATATACCTACCGATCTATACGAGTGTGAGAGCGAGCGTAAGTGTGAATACGTATGCATGTGTATATAGGTTCAATATTTAAAAGAATAATTTGTTCAATCAGTTGCAAATAAATCATCACGAAGTAAACACGTCTTTCTGTGGGCACAAACTCTTACAAACCAAAGTGAACCCTAACACTTATTACATAGTGGTCGAAATCGAGCCGAATTTCAATTCGACTTACGACGTTCCTGTGCCGCGCGATAGTAAAAAAGGACCGGTCGAGTGACGAGCTTAGAACAAAAGAAGACGTTTGCGTAAACAAGTTTTTACTTTTTATGCACGTTTAATGCACCATATGGCATCGAGTTGTAGATTGGAAAGAAATAAATTATTATAACACGGAAATAAGAAACAACATTCGAGTTTATATACGATTTGAAGACGGTTTTATCTACTAATACCGACAATGGCTAGTACACCGGAACAAATACTAAATGTGTTGGAAGATTCAGCTATGTTGTTAAGAAAAACTCAAACAAATTTAAAGAAATGTCCAAAGCAACATCTAACAAGGGGTTACATAGAAACACGTATTAAAAGCGTTGAAGAATACTGGTCTATATATAAAAAGGCACATGAAGAATTAGTGAAGTGTGTTCCAACTCCGAAACGACAAGATATTCCGTATTTCGTTAATGAAGAATATTTTATTCAGGAAGATTTATATATTTGTATACTAGCCGAGCTTAATAATTTATTATTTTCGCTTAACAAGTTATCGTCTTCGACACCTATGCAAGTTCATAATAATAATTCGGGTTCTTCTAAAGAAATGAATGTCAAGTTACCAAGGATTCAACTTCCAACTTTCTCGGGTATTTACGATGAGTGGCCTGCTTATCAAGAATTGTTTACATGATTAGTACACAAAAACACATCATTAAGTAACGTACAAAGGTTGCATTATTTGAAAGGAAGTCTTACGGGAGAAGCCCTGTCACTTTTGAAACACGTCCAAGTCATCGATGCCAACTATGAAATGTCGTGGAACATGCTTAAAAAGCGTTTTGGCAACAAGCGGATTATCATTAATTCAATATTAAAAAGATTGTTTACCCAAAGAAAAATTAGTGTACAAACGGCAAGTAACCTCAAATCTATTTTGGATACTACAACAGAATGCCTGAATGCATTAAAAAACCTTGGGCTATCAACGAGCTTCTGGGGTCCACTTATTATATTTTTAGTTGTACAAAAATTGGACCCAGAGACGCACCGAGATTGGGAAGAAGATGCTTATAAGGATAATGCTGAAAATTTACTTACATGGGACGCACTCAATAAATTTTTACAGTTAAAATTCCGCACTCTTGAGCTTGTCACGCCGTCAACTAAAGAAAGACCCAACACCTAGAGGAAGGTAATACGCTGTTTACTTATCTACGAGTACTAATGATACTGCGACTTCTACGAAACTAAGAGTTTGTGCTATGTGTAACGAAAATCATACATTGTGTCCCTGTGAACAATTCATCAAGCTAAGCCCAACAGAGAGATGTGTTTACATAAAGAAACATAATCTGTGCTTTAATTGTCTGGTCCCTGGTCACTCTGCACAACGATGTCGCCAGAAGATGTCCTGCAGAACATGTCACAAACGTCATCACACGCTCACGCACCATTTCACGCCTATGACGTCATCAAGCCAGCCAGAAAATTACAAGAATCAAGACAAACATAACGATGTTGAAGATCATCAATGTTCTGCACAATCAGCCGAACCCAATGTCACACTTTCATCACATGTCGCTTCTAAGGTGTCCACTGCATTGCTGGCCACAGCACTCATACCAGTAAGAGGTTATGATTCAAAGCAAGTGACTGTGTTACGCGCATTGATTGACCACGGCTCCCAGGTTACGTTTATAAGTGAAAGAGTAGCCCAGATGTTACGATTAAGGAGAACGCCTATCAATGGCACTATCACTGGCGTTGGATCTACTAAAACAAACGTTAAATATGCTGCAGAAATTGAACTTCTCTCAAGGCACGACCCAAGCTTCAACATAAGAATCAAAACGTACATAATGTCAACGCAACTGACCACCCAACTGCCGAATCAAACTATCTCTACAAGCACCTGGCCGCACTTGCAAGGACTTGTTTGGGCTGACCCAAGCTATAATCAACCAGGACGAGTAGACCTATTACTAAGAGTCGACGTGTGTGCTCAAATAATGAAAAGCGAAGTTATCAAGGGACCGCCAGGAACACCTTGTGCTCAAAATACGACCCTGGGTTGGATTCTGTTTGGGAGCGTGGAAAACAAACCCGTCGATAAATTGATTCTTGATTATGGTGCATAATGTTATGCACCATAATCTTGACCTAAACGATATGCTTAAACGAATGTGGGAACAAGATGCATACGATAAAGTAATACCTACATCAGATGAGCGAAGGTGCGAGGAAATCTACGAAACCACAACCATCAGAAATAATGACGGACGTTACATTGTGACACTACCCAAGAAACCTAAAACGTTATTATCAACCCAAGGAAACATGCGAACAATAGCTCTGCAGACACTTTATCAATTAGAACAAAGATTGAAGAAAAACCCAAAACTAAAAAACGATTATGCTACGGTTATGATATACTACGAATCAAATTACATGGAAGAGGTACCCAGACACGAAATGAGCAATCCATCGGTTTACTTACATCATGCTGCTGTTAAGGAAGAAAGGGAAACTACAAAAATTAGAATAGTATTTGATGCATCACAAAGAGGAACCAACAACATCTGACTCAACGATGAGCTGTTGGTGGGACCACAGGTACAAGGAGACATGAGAAGTCTTATAATGAGATGGCGGATGAAAAGAATCTGCTTTGTAGCGGATATACAAAAAATGTATCTCCAAATCATGGTCACGAAAGAAGACAGGGATCTGCAACGAGTACTCTGAAGATATGATGATCAAGATCCTGTCAAGGACTACCGACTTACCAGGATCACGTTCGGAACTGCTTCTGCTTCTTACTTGGCAGTAAGGACCTTGCACCGAGTAGCTCATGACGAAGGCCAAAACCATCCCGAAGCAGCAGAAATAATAAAGAGGGATTACTTCATGGATGATATGATGTCTGGGAAAGACAACCTCGCCGATGCTATCAGATTAGCCAAAGACGTAGACAGCATACTAGAGAAGGGAGGCTTCAAATTAAAAAATGGTGTTCTAATGATGCAGACTTCCTAAAGGAATTTGAAGAGTCAGAAAGAAGTTCTCATGTAAAACTGGACATAACATTAGACGGGATTACACGAGCGTTAGGACTGCACTGGAACATTGGCAAGGATCTATTTCAATACAGCTTAAACCTACCTGCTACGGTAAATATAATTACAAAGAGAACAGTTCTGGGTGACCTACAAAGATTATTTGATCCACTGGGCTGGTTCGCACCTTCTGTCTTACCTACCAAACTTCTAATCCAAAGATTATGTCTGCAAGGAGTGTAGCATGCGATGAGGAGGTGGACGAAAAGATTGCTGCAGAATGGAACAATATACGAGATTCGTTTCATATGTACCTACCTGATATCGAAGTAAACAGATGGCTAAATACTACTGAAGCCACACTAAACAATGTTACTATCCACGGATTTTGTGATGCATCATGTCGAGCTTACGCTGCAGTAGCCTAACTAAGAGTAAGAACGGTGAAGTGAAGACATCAATCATCGCTGCTAAAACCAAGGTTGCACCTACAAAACCACAATCCCTACCTCGTCTGGAACTAAGTGGCGCTGTACTGCTTGCTGGTCTTTTAAAACAGATAAAGGAATCAATGAACGTACCTGCCTGTCAGATATTTGCTTGCACTGACTCAACCATTGTACTCTCATGGTTGTTTGGCGATCCTGCAAGATGGAGCACTTACGTGAAAAACAGGGTTGTTGAAATACTTGACACAATCGGCAATCATAATTGGTACCATGTCATATCGCCAGAAAACCCAGCTGACTCCGCTTCACGAGGGCAATCATTGCAAGAGTTAAAAAATGATGAACTGTGGTGGAAGGGCCCAGAGTGGCTGAGAGTAGGGGAAATACAGCAGACCAAATACAACCTGAACAGACCTGGAAAGAAAGAAATCAATACATGTAAATTTGAAATTAGACAAAGAGAAGAGTATTAGTACAAAATTTGAGGATTGTGACAAGTTGCAAGAATTGCTTAAGGTGATTATATATTCTAAAAGATTCTTGAAGGGAAAAAAAATGAAATGCAAAGACTTACCTGTGACTACGACGGAACTTAATGATGCGCTTAAAACCTGCATAAAAATAACTCGGAGGGATAGCTTCGAAGAAGAAATACAGCACCTGCAATCAAAAAAACAAATTAAAAGAGCCAGCAAACTAAAAAAGTTTAAAACCTTACCTGAACGATAATAACATCCTCAGGGTGGGCGGCCGACAGCGTCCCTCGTGTATATAGTGTAAAAAGTGGTGGTAGCGTCGTGCAAAGATCTGTAAATAAGCTGTGTTACTTACCAATAGACTTTGAATCATGATTTATTTTATTTATAACTAAGGCAAATTGTGTTTATCTATATTCTACATGTATAGTTTAATTAATTATGTTGAGTCTATTGTAATCAAAACGTTGTAACGTGTAATAAAATTGTTAAAGGGCTCTTAGGCCCTTTGGTGGGCGGTATGTTCGGATATACTGATCTATACGAGTGTGAGAGCGAGCGTAAGTGTGAATACGTATGCATGTGTATATAGGTTCAATATTTAAAAGCATAATTTGTTCAATCAGTTGTAAATAAATCATCACGAAGTAAACACGTCTTTCTGTGAGCACAAACTCTCACAAACCAAAGTGAACCCTAACATTCATTACATCAATAATCAATAAATCCCAAATTCATCGATCAACGTCCCAATCCTGTCCCATCACTATGGTTCGGAACATTTTAAGTTCAACCTTGAATTATCCAATCACAACGCATTTGATACGTCCCCCGCAACTCAAGCATGCCGCGAAATTCAGTGAAATCGAAACAGAACAAATATTCCATGATGCGGTATCTATTAGGGGGTAATCTGTGGGTTAACATCAAGAGAGGACTATCACAACTACTCGTCGTTCTTTTTTAAATCAAAATTCTCAAGATATTTACAGCAACGGGATTATGTCACTAACTACAAGATGGCATCAAGTGGTCGAATAAAATGGCACATAATATATATTATAACTAAATGTAATTAAACTTTGAAAAAAAAAATGTCTTGAATTTGTATATGAAATACGAAGAAACTTTGTCCCCGACGTAATCTGTAGATATTAAATAGATTAAAATAAATTACGTGTAAGTTGGTTATTTAATAGACGAGAAATATTGAATAGTTTGTACATAATAATTGCAGATGAGAATATTTTCTTGTTTCACACTTTTTAGATAGGCTAGGCTAGAAATACATTAAAATAAATGGTTGAAATTTAGAATCGTTTGGCAGGAATTTGGGGGAGTAAGGTGTTTTATATGGTACAGGTAATGCACATACCCCGAATTACATAATTTTTTGCTTAAGTTTTATTGTTTTATTATTATATATGTAGTTTGGGTAAAGTTAGAGAGAAAATATGTTTGGCTAACATCTGAGGTGCGATTTTGAAAATTGTTTCCAATTATCGGGTGGCTTGCCAGGTATTTTTAACATATAGATATATCTATGCCTAAAATATGTCTGTCGTGACGAGTGTGTGTTAAAGGGAGGTGAAGGCACGTCACCTATGCCGCTGATGTGGAACCGGGAGTGCGTGGCCTTGTGCGGCGCGGCGTGGTGCGGCGCGAGCTCGGCGGCGGAGGGGATGGTGCGCTCCGACTGGCGCGGCGTCAGCTGGTAGCGCCGCGTGCGCACCGACAGCGGCGACTGGCTCGCCGACTCCTCACCCGCCTCCGTGTCCAGGAGGCTCTGCCACAGGCGAATCTTTGATACGGGAGTGGCAAACGAGCATACGACTCACCGCCCCTGGTGTTCCCAATCCCCAATAGCAGTTGCGTTGCCTTTATCATCGATTTGAAACTTCAGACCGACATAAGAAAGAAAGATAGACGGAATGCTGCGTATACTACAAGTGAGCCAAAAGCAAGCCAAAATCATGCAGAGCTTAATTATTTATTATAAAACTTCTTATAACTTGAGCATGGTTTTGACGTCACTTGAAATTTATGTGGAGCTCCGTCTATCACAGTCTTTGTGGGTCTAAGCCTAAAACGAATTTCCCAATCTAATTATTTTAGACTCTACTAGCTGTAAGGCATGCGTTGCAAATCTGTTTTCTGACAGATCCCATAACGGGTGCGCGCACAAAAATTCACAGAAGTTTCATTTTATTTGGATAAATGATAGAAGTGATTGAATTCTAACCTATTTTTTTCGCCTGATGGTAAATGCTGATGTAGGTTAAGATTGCAAAACAATAGCTTAACAAAAGCCTATTCGGTCTTGACTTGAAGAAACCCACATTGTAACCGGATATAAAGACAGATGTGGGAGAAATTATTCCACTCGTGTTTCTGAGTAGGACTGAGATGTTGCATTAGACGATGATATCATACTAAACATGAGCTACATTCAGCTTTTATGTATTAATGCTACATTCAGCTTTTATGTATTAATTTGTATTCGGAGTCACGCAAAAAGAAATTACTATATTATACTTACGTTATTTTCAATGCTTAGCATATGAGTAAATGAGAAAATAAGAAATCGCTTTAGTTATGCTGCAGTTATATTAGTATTATAGTTGTAGCACGAATGGGTCGGCTTGACCGGGGAAGGACCACGTTCTCACAGTATACCAGCGTGAAATAGTAGCTTAATGCTGCTGAGTTTCGTGTGGTAAGTGTAGAGAACCGGAGACCCTTTTTACTGGAAACCTGGAAACCATCTAAGTCCTCACGGGTGACAACGCATCTTCATTTTGATTTGTAATCGAGGATAGATGTAGAAGTCTATGGGCCGCAGCAACCACTTACCATCAGGTGGACTGTGTGCGAGTTTGTTAACTTATCCTATAAAAAAAATTGTTTCAACTTACAAAACATAAGAAACCGTCCAGGAAAATAGAAAGAATATCAAATATAATTACATGTGCGCCGGTAGATGAAGTGCTTCGCTTCTTGAACGTGAATTTCTTGTGACTGCGGTCGTCGGCCGCGCAGCCCGAGTCAGCCCCCGTGTCCGAGCCGCGTTCGTCCTCCTGCGTTCTTGGGATATGCCTACAAAAATACCAATAATAACGAATCCTCTACTTCCAGCTTCATATTCATCTATAAAAAGTCACTACTGGGCGTAAACCAAGTTGATTGATTCCCCAGGTTTGGAAAATTTGATCAAATTACCATATATTTCGGTTTATAAAATACTGGTTTAAATCAATTAAATTATAATTTAAATAATATTACTATATAATATATATAAAATATATTCCAGTTTGAAGTTTTAGGGACATATGTACCTGCTTTGTTCTTATTTCTTCATTATATACTGCAGCAGACAAACATTTTGCATTCTGCTTAGCATAATTCTATATAATAAAAAAGGACTTTAGTCCTAAATGTATACCTTAGGTATTGTTGCGCGCCTAAGTTGACGTCATGTACCCGGCACTAGCGCCATCTAGTGTCGGGTAACAGAGCGAGAAGAGCTTTCCAGAAAATGACATGACTAATCTTTCAACCAACAGCGCCATCTAGTATCGAATTGAAGAACTAAGCTTTCTAGAAGCCCCACGCTGAACTTTCGGCGCCTGGTCGGTTGGCGCGCGTATTTACTTGAATATTCTGGATGTTTCGGTGAAAAAAGTGTATTTAAAGGCGCTGCAATACGCGATCGGGGCAGTATTGAATTTGGCGAGACAAACGAAGCTTCGAAGCGAAATAAAGTGAATCAATGCGATTAATTATTAGTGTTTTAATAATGTAATAATTGGTGTAAAGAAAATTAAAGTGTAAATTTTGGTAATTCAATCGGCAGTTTTTATTGTCACGAACCTCAAGCACGTAACAGTATTTTAAGAAAATATAAGTGTGGTAGCTATTCTTCTTATAATACAGCCATGCTTGTTATAAATATCAGTAATGCCTTACATTTTCATAGTTGCAGCTTGAAATAAATTTATTTTTGTATTCAGATATGTAAGAGGTTAAACACCGATCGTAAAAGGTAGTGCATTTACTTTTTAGTTCACAGACGGACTTTCCAGAGTTAGCCGTTCGTACAATGGAGGATACTCATGAACCTAGGCAAAGGTTCTATAGAAACGCCGTTTACAAGCCGATTGCAATATCGAACAAAATCGTTAGGAAAGTGAACCTCATATAGTCACTGTATTGTTAAATAGTTTTTCAATACAAATACCAAATATTTACCTACGTTTAATTATATTTAAAGTATTTATTCTTAAAAGATCAATAGATGATTTCATATAAACTATTGAAATTACATTGAAATATCACAACAAAATAAATGTTGCGCGTTTTAGTAATTCATGTCTAACAGTACCCAGAGCTAGAATTAATTTTCGATAAGGCACTAATTTACAGTACCTGGATGACTGAGATTTCCTCGGTATTTTTTTTGGAAATCATGTATTTTGGAAATTATATTTAGATAAAAATTACATACTGATGAAACATGAATAATATTTCTTGATCTTATTGACATAATAGAAAAAACTGAACTGGTTATTTGAATAGAAAATCATGAGTGCAATTAGTTTAATTTAAATTTTCGTATTTTTAAAAAAATACTAAAAAAAGGGTTCGAAATAATAGATTTTCTCACAAAAGAAGGGAACTTGAAAAAAAAAAGGAAAAAAGTTGGACCGGACGTTGGAGGACGCGAACCAGGGCACTTCGATTTCGCGACCGCTGGATATCCACATGACCTATTACGATCATTAATACACTGCCAAAATTTACATTCATATATTGTAGCAGTTTTTCGTTGCCTAAAAGTACGGACAAAACGACATTTTCAAAAATCTCATTTTAAAAAATCAATCCTAGCTAGATCGATTTATTGCCTCCGAAACCCCCCTGAATACTAAATTGTATGAAAATCGTTGTAGCCGTTTCCGAGATTCCGATACTATATATATATATATATATATATATATATATATATATATATATATATATTCATACATACATACATACATGAATTGTTCGTTTGTTATTATTATTTGTTACCTTATAACTCTTGTTGTCTGCATATTGGCATCTTTTTGTTGACTATCTGGTCTCTCGGCTGTATCTAATAATGCACTTAAGGCTACCAGGCGGAATTCGCTTCCATGAGCTTCTTTCACATAGCTTAGTAAGACGCGGACTTCCATATAAAGAGCCTAAAAAGAGTATAATTCTTATGTGTATACAAGGTGTAAGTCGATAAAACCATAGGGCTTTAATATAAAAATATTTATCCGAATTTTTTAAAAAACGCTATTTTCTTTCATAAAATTTAAAAAGTTTCCGTCAGACACCGTCCGTAAATTCATGGATACCCTATGCACCCGAGTGACGTAATCACTGTAAACATCACCGCCCGCGCTAGCTACCTACAAAATATTCCAATAAAACACAATAGGTACACATAACCTGTGAGGTAACTTTTCCTTCATACTTTCATCCTGGCTTAGGACAGGAGGGGAAAAATTGAGATTTTACTAAAAAAAATTTTTATTTTTCATTGAATTTACGTTCTATAAGTGAAACCAAACCACTGGTTTCAAGGATAACGGTGTTTACACTAACACCCTGTATTATAATATATCATACAATAGTTTATAGTAATCAGCGAGATGAAATTAAGTATGCTTTTAGCGACGCGACGTGTAAACATTGTGAGTAAATTACTCTTATAATGTCGCGGATTTTTGTCAATAGCCTCAGTATCCTATAATAGCATGGACTAAGTTGTGGTATCATAATTTAAACCTTTGAAAATTTCTTTAAATGGGTCATCGCCATTACATTTTAAAACGGTTTTTGACCGATCCGCTTTTTATATCGCTTTAAGATCAGATTATCGAATTTATAATGAAAGAAAGAAGTTTTCAGTCGTAACGTAACTATAGCCTGTGTATTTAAATGTTATTATATGTCTTGTTGGCCTTAACGTAACCATAACATAATACTCACAGAATTATCCAGTAGTTTCAGCTCCTTATGCATCAATGCAAATCTAGTAATTAGTTCTCTGAACGTAGCTTCTATGATGAAATTTTCGATAGCTCTGTTAGTATTTGTGCCTTGTCCAACACCAAAGTTAGTTGCATAGCCGGCCTGCAGGTGGCTTATATCAGGGGACTTTGCGTAGCTGCGCTTTTGCTGATCTAAGAATTGAATAGGATTTAATTATTAAAAAAATTACTAAATGTATTTTGGAATACATGTAAGTTGTGTTCCGCTGTGCAGATAACCTGGGGAATACTTTTAAAAGTTACAGCTGTTTTTCAGATATTTTTCAACTTGCATTATATATATACACACTATACACTATACAAATGAATAAAAATGAAGTGTCTGTAATATTAAAATAACAGCTTTTTACTTAATACATATGAAAGTATATATGGTACTTATCACAAAAAAAAACAAATTTAAAAAAAAATGTCAGTCTGTTTTTCCCAGGCAATCTCTGAAATGGCTGGACCGATTTTGACAGGGCTTTCACGGGAAGAAAGTGAGATAGCTATTGTTATGAGTAGTAACTTAGGTTATATGTAATAACTTAGGCTACTTTTATTTAAGAATAAGAATTCGGGTGTTGCACAACCATGAAATCCAATGGCAATAAATTCCACGTCGGCGAAGTCGCGGGGAACAGCTAGTTTAAAAATTAAAAATGGCGGTCTTCTCCATCAGCTCGTAAAAGTCCACAGCAGAACATGAACCCCTCCTTACCAGATTTAGAGAACATTTGTCTTAATCGTCACGATTATCATTCGGATTGACGATCGTCGTATACGTCGTAGACATCATTTACAGCTGCAAGCTTTTCCGTTATAATATGTATATATGATAGCTCTTAAAATACAAAGCTGTGGCTTATGTAAAGAAAAGATACAAATGAATAAAAATGAAGAGTCTGTAATATTAAAATAACAGCTTTTTACTTAATACATATGAAAGTATATATGGTACTTATCACAAAAAACAAATTTAAAAAAATTGTCAGTCTGTTTTTCCCAGGCAATCTCTGAAATGGCTGGACCGATTTTGACAGGGCTTTCACGGGAAGAAAGTGAGATAGCTATTGTTATGAGTAGTGACTTAGGTTATATGTAATAACTTAGGCTATTTTTATTTAAGAATAAGAATTCGGGTGTTGCACAACCATGAAATCCAATGGCAATAAATTCCACGTCGGCGAAGTCGCGGGGAACAGCTAGTTTAAAAATTAAAAATGGCGGTCTTCTCCATCAGCTCGTAAAAGTCCACAGCAGAACATGAACCCCTCCTTACCAGATTTAGAGAACATTTGTCTTAATCGTCACGACTATCATTCGGATTGACGATCGTCGTATACGTCGTAGACATCATTTACAGCTGCAAGCTTTTCCGTTATAATATGTATATATGATAGCTCTTAGAATACAAAGCTGTGGCTTATGTAAAGAAAAGATACATTGCATACACGAAGTATGAAGATTATACTTGGAATGTTGCCAACGAATAATTACTGGCAGATTGTCTGAATGAGCTGTGAATTTTGTGCGATTTTAAACATAGAATACTATAATACATACATAATAGAACGGAGGAGTGGGCGGAGCCCGCGTAGCCACTAAAATGTCACTAACATGTCAATTCACACGTATAAATGTCAACACGAGTTGTGTATTGACGTTACAATCGTTTCCAAATTTCGCATGCAAATTATTTAGAAAATGTCAAATAGTTTACAAATAAATACGTATTAAAATTTAAACGATTTTTTAATGATGATCTTGAACATTAATCAAAAGTCTAAAATGTGTAAATTTACTCAGTATGTCAACACAGCGAATCGGGTTTGTAGTAGTGATAATACGACGTAATTGCTTGTATGTGTGCTCCCGACGACGCCGATCCTCCTACAAAATAAGGTTGATAGCCATTCTATTGTGTATTATAGTATTCTATGGTTTTAAATGTTCCTTTTTAAATACTCTGTGGATTCTATGACAAGACAAAAAAGAGTTTATTTTGTATCTTGTAAAAATTAAACATCTGTGTTAAATATATTAATGTGAAGTGAAAACATATACTGAGAATTGAGAGTGAAATACAGGCTGATTTATTAAGCAAACTTAAAAATTTTATGATTCACGGTCAAATTTCGGTCACTAGGCGATCATCATAGTAATATTTATTATACTTACTCATAGGCGATACCATGTTGGAAGGTTCAGCACAAAAGCCTATTGTTGCGTGGAGATTATCAAGCACTTCTCTGATCGGTGCAAATTTTGTCATTTCTTTAATGCGTAGGTTAAATTTTGTAACGGATGCAGATCTCAGTTGGCGGAGTGAGTTACGGGCTTGTACCCTAAGGCATTCGGCTTGAGGGCCTCGCAGTGACGATGTGCATCCATGAGAACAACCTAGTTGTCTAAGCAGCCTGTGAAAAAGATTTTTATTAATCCTACGAGATCAAGTACACAATATAAGCCAAGTAAGAAAGTATTTACGCATAATTTTAAAAATGCTTTTTGAGTCGGTACGATTGTGGTAAATTCATCGAGTGTATGTATACAAATATATTTTTATTTTAAATAAATAATAGACCTGAACTGATTATGTCATTTTTTAAATTCTTAACAAATTTAATGAATTCCCAATTATTTATTACTCAATAGACATCATACAGTATTTTTTAATGTTGTTAAGATAGCATTCATATTTGTTTGGAGAAATTAAGGTCTTTCTTAGTAGTCTTCGATGTCAAGTTCTTTTCTTTGCTCACGATCACAAGTGTTTTTATCAGCCTCTAAAATTTCACTGTTGGAAATGGACTTCTCCCACTAGAGAGGAATTGCCTGAATCGATACGCTTGGCAGGCGGATTGATGAGTCTAGTGCCATAAGTCTTGCACCCTCGATGTGAAGAAGCGTCCAAAGTGCGAAATATCTTTACCTCTGCTTTACGTCACTGGTCTCGATATTTTATGCCTGGCAAAAACTATATGGTTATCGAAATCCATAAGACCTTATTTGGGATATCAGTTGATTTTGGCATTTCAGTATAATAAAATAAATATTGTTACAATAGGAGCCTACATTTCAAGAAGAAAAAATATTTTCAAATAAGAAAAGCCTGTACAGCTTTGTTACGGATTATGTTCGAATATTATAAGAATGGGTATAAACCAGGGTTTTGCAGCTATGCAGTAAAAATAATTTATAACCACATCCTTCTTTTAGAAATGAACTGAATAAATTAAATACAAGCAGTAACAGTTATTGGATATGCTATGTCTCTTCCAATTTGGAAAGCTTTATTATAATCAGAACGTATATAATTATTATAACTAGCCAATTAAAACTTATTTAATTTTAAATAACTATTAATCAGTGTAAAATGAAAGTTCCACGAGTGCCACGTGCTCGGCGGTTGAAGAAATCATCGTGAGGCAACCAGCATGTCTGATAACTAAAAAAATATATATTTCGAAGACATGTGAAGATTTCCTTAAACCCATCTCCCACTCCCTAAAACCCTCTCAGAAACGAAGTGAGGCCAGTGCCCAGCAGTGGGAAGTATATAGGCTATAACTGTACTTTACTTTAAGTAACGAGTAATTTAAATTTTGCAAATAAATATCATGCCAGTCACTCAAAGGGATTTACATACATCTATCCTCGATTACGAATCAAAATGCAGATGCGTTGTGACCCGTGAGGACTAAGATGGAATGTCTCGTTTACAGTAAAAAGGATCTCCGGTTCTCTACACTTACCATATGAAACACAGAAGCATTTAGCTGCTATTTTACGCTGGTATTCTGTGAGAGCGTGGTCCTTTCCCGGTCGAGCCGACCCATTCGTGCTACAACTATACTACTAATATACCACTACAGCTCTTTCGCTTCCTTTACATGCATATATCTGTGCATACACTACTGTTGGTTAAGGTTACTCTTAAATTTGTCCATTTTGAATATATCGTCAATTTGGTAGATAAACTTCCATCCAGGTCGCCTCTAGTTGACTCTGCCACTCATGCAGAATATATTTTACTTTGTCACTCTTTCCTCATTCAATATTTGTACGTGTCCAAATCACCGAAGTATTTCTTTCTTAATCCTGGTCACAACATCTTGCAAAGTACACTTTTTTATAACTAAATTTCTCATCCCAACATTAAAAATTACACCTAACGTACTTTTTAATGACCGCATTTCTACTGCATTGTTTTACACTCACACTTCTTCTGCCTCACCCAACTTTTACTACCGCAAATTCTATAACAAATTAACTAGTGAACCGATTCGGACGGGGTTTTCAGTATAAAATAATTAAACCGAAGGCCTAACTAAGTATATATAAAAGAACTCTATGTAGAGCATTTTAATAGAGTATTGTACAAGAGTTCTAAATCCTTAGAATTAAGAACAACTTTTATAGTTAAAATTGTTATGTTTAATGTAATAGAATAAGACTAGGAATAAAAAAGGCTCTAGGTAGAGCAAATAAAAAATTTTTAAAAATTTGGTATCGTTAAATCATTGGGAATTACCATAAATGCTTTTTTGACACAATAAAACGTGGTAGAGCCACGCTGCTAGCCAGCTATATTATGGTTGTAGCACGAATGGATCAGTACGACCGGGTAGGACCACGTTCTCACAGAATACCAGCGTAAAATAGCAGCTTGATACTGCCGTGTTTCGTATGGTGAGTGTAGAGAACCGGGACCCCTTGTTACTGGAAACGAGGCATTCTATCTCAGTCCTCAGGGTGACAACACATCTTAATTTTATTTCTTGGTTGAGGATAAATGTAGATGTCTATGGGCTACAGCATCCACTTACCGTCAGGTGGACTGTGTGCTCGTTTGTCACCCATATTCTATTTTAAAAAAAACATACTGACCAGCCGCAATAGAGTAAGAGCCCCTCAGATCATATAAACAACAGGAGATATGCCCGGTAGATAAAATGTATCGGAACCTGTTGTCGCCAGTTTGTCCCCGCCACTCGCCAACTACTACACATGCAGTTCATTAAATTGATAGATACGCAGTAGCGCACACACACGCATTTAATAAATCAGAACGATCTACACAATCAATTATAAACCTTATCTCATCATATGCAGCGTGCATTTACCATGCACCGTACAAAACTTATTCACACAAAAACATGTGTCTCTAACTCACAAAAGCCGGCAGCGGCTGCTTCACGAAACTATCGTGTGAGTGAGAGTATCAGTAAAACACTTATCCATTGCGCTATTAGACCAGCTGATTCACAGGTCGATTTGTACTAAGCAAGCAATGGTTTTTGTTCGTAATGAAAACATTTGATTTGGTTTTTCATCGTGTTTCTAGTACCACGAAGTAATGTTTTAATAAATTGAATAAGAAAAACATTAATATTTTAGTACTTACGTGTGAAATGAGATGCCATCTTTCATGTAATTCACAATACAGCTGTTATTTTTGCAAACAATCACTGAACAACGCGGCATTTTGTCAAAAATCACGAGCAGTGAAGACGTCACAAGTTGACATTCGACTAATTACCGAAACTGGCATCAGGCCGCTTTGCGGCCAGATGCGTTCGCAAGTGCCACGCCTCCTTGCCATATCTCCTGTTATTTATATGATCTGAGTGAGAGCCCCATTCACTCCGTTATCTCTTCGTATTAGTTCTATATTCTTGTCATGTCTACCAATCCTGGTTGTACTATCAAGAATAAATAAGAAAATAGCTGCTTACCTAAGAATAATATGCATTATCATATAATAAGGACAGTCTAAGTTTTCATCGTCTTTTGCTCCATCTTTGCTATCGCCTCCTTCAACATTAGTTGATTCTTGGCTTTGGGCGCACGGTATACCGGAATCTCTTTCCTAATCAGAATATTAATAAATTAAAATTTTAGAAATATATTAGTAAATATTAGCGTAAATTAAAGATGACTTGCATTTTTGAATTCGAAAATAATATATGTGTAGGAAGGTAATTAAATAGAATTAATTTACAATCACAAAATACACGGATCACAGGTAATCAACTATAAATTGTACTGAGACTAATTTAATAGCTGATAATAATAATTAATTCGTTTCCACGAATTAATTATCCGAATAGTCTAGGATGAGCTAGTAGCGGGATACAGCAAGTGAACCGTGCCACGCCAGAGCCATGACTGCTTTAACGGCGGCCGCTCCGTCCGTTTTATACAATCGAGACATCTAGCTACACGAGCGCCACTGCAGGTGCAATGCGCAGGTGTGCGGTGCACGTGTTGTTTACAATAATTCCGACTACCCACAAAGGCGCTGCGACATATGTATTAATGTCAATTATTTAGGTCTACTCATAGCAAGGCCGTGCCTCACTCATTTATTTAATAAAAAGACAGAAACACATTAAAAATAAAATAATTACTCAGGAAATAGTATCAGACACCTTTTTACTCCAACTTATACTCTAAATAATATTGTATAATAATGTACTTTTTACTCTAAATAATATTGTTTGGAAATAAAAAATGAGAGAATAATTTTAGAGATGGGCCGAACATGGATTTCACCGCATACGAATATTTGGCCGAAAGTTCGGTAAAACTTTTACCGAACCGAATATTCGGCCGAACATTATTCGGCAGCATCACCTTGATACCTAACCAATTTATGTCGAAACTTGTTACCGTAAAGCGCGCGGGATTAGAGCCGGACCCTGCCAATCGCTCCCCGCCACACCTGACATGTTATTGCATCATCTAGTACCGAGCAAATTGCCGGCACATGCTTATGTTTTGACTATTTTTGTGAGAACAAAAGTATTTCGGTGTGTTAAAATACATTTTCAACATTTAAATTATGAAAGACATGGCAATACTCAATTTGTACATTTCAATACAGGGGACACTTTGAGTACCACTTTAACGAATGTCCGGTGATTTAGCCGAATATTCGGCCGAATACGAATATTCGGTAAAGCTGCCGAATACCGAATATAAAACCAATATTCGGCCCATCTCTAATAATTTTTATTGTAACGCCAACACAAAAGAGAAACAAAAAAGTGTGTCTAAATAATATCTTGGGTAAAATTTTAAACTTACTTTGCTCTCTTTGTCTTTATTGAAATCAGCTAAGGGATCAACTGTTTCTGGTTGAATATCTTTCGTAGTGTCTGTCTGCCAATTCTTGTGGATTCCGATTTCCATTAGCGTGTCAACCAGGTTCAACATGACTTCCATTACTCTGACCGTTATATACAAACTATCCATAGTAGACACGGAGTATACTGCCTGAAATAATGCATTACGCTATTTTATTAACTACGGAATAGATTCGAAAGTTTCATATGTGGTAGAGTCACGCTGCAGCTATATTATGGTTGTAGCATGAATGGGTCGGCTCGACCGGGGAAGGACCACGCTCTCACAGAATACCAGCGTAAAATAGCAGCTTAATGTTGCTATGTTTCGTATGGTGAGTGTAGAGAACCGGAGACCCGTTTTACTGGAATCGAGGCATTCCATCTTAGTCCTTAAAAGTGACAACGCATCTGCATTTTGATTCTTAATCGAGGTTAAATGTCGATGTCTATGGGCCACAGCATCCACTTACCACCAGGTGGACTGTGTGCTCGTTTGTCACCCTAATCCTATAAAAAAGTTAACAAAATTACTTTCACGTTTCACATACTAGGTAGTAGGAATTCCTTTCTGTCTGGGAGTCTAGGATCTAGAAGAGTAATTATTTCTGCCGCCAAGTCATTAAAAATGAAATATTACCTTTAGAACAATTTGAAAATCAATATCCCCGTCTTTAGTGATGTAATATTTAGACCCGGATGCTTCCTGAATCTCTTCTACGATATAAGTGATGTTAGAATCGGTCTGTGAACGCGTCAAGCTGGGCTTGCGTTCTGGAGTTGGAATGTGTTGTGAGCCTTGCATACTTACAGAGTCTAGTTGCGACTCCATTGAACCCTGAAACAGATGGGCGTTTAATTTTTCCATAATAATTATATAAAATCCAAATAATAAGAGCCTTACTTGTCTTGTTTTAGAAAGATAATCAGGAGATGGAGTAGGCGTGTGTTCAGTGACGGTTATAATTGGGTTCGTTTTCTTGTGTACGTTCGATTGCGTTGCAGTTGTCTGACCATGAGCGCGCTCAGTCTTTACTTCGCCGATATATCTGAAATAAGTTACTAGATAATTTCTAGACAATATTGAAGTAATAAAAAATTTGTTGGTCATTATATACATATATGTATGACAAATTTATACCAATGCTGAATTAGCTTTTAGTAAAAAAAAAAGATTAAACTTTGAGAATTTTCCATAGTAAAGCAATAATGATTTACTGAAACGGTGAAAATCATTATCTATTATGTAAAGTTGCCTGTGAATTTTTATATCATATTTACAAGGTTTCTGTGATCACTGATCATGCATTAGAATCATACGTAGCTAAAATTTACGAAAGTCAGTCGCAAATGATTTATATTGTGACTGATTTTTCTGCCGTCACACAAAATTTACAATAGGACTATATGTTTCTATAGTCAAATTATTATTAGGATACATATAAATGTTATCTAGAAGTTTTGTACATGCAAGATTTATTTTGTAACATTGTGTACGATCACAAATGGTAATTGATATTTTCATTTCGAACGCAGAAATCAAAAATGTTATATTAAAAAAATATCAATACATTGATTATCATAGCCCTACATCCCTTGATTACATAACATGGTCATCAATAATTAACAGTCGATTCAGTAAGCCAAATCCACACTTTGCCAATAACAATATCACACATTACCATACATATCACACTATATTCTGCCGTGTTAGCTCAAAACTCAAATTACTTGATTTTACCTGTTTTACTCAAAGTTAACACACGAGCTACTTATGTGCATATTAACAATTTGCAACTACTTATGTTACTAATGTTGTAATTACGTATCTACCTACTGTTATTGCTACTGCATATTATTGTATATAGTATTATGTTAAACTGCGTGCAGACCACGTGAGATAATATTTCAGATAAAATATTAGTATTAAAGCTATTAGTATACACAAGTACAGAGTTGGTAGTCACTAAAATTTAATTGAAAGCAAATTGTATCGATGCAAACAAACATAAGGCGCAATTTTATTCATTAGTAGTAGACTAGATCTGATAACTAAGTGACGAAGCGTCTACTTTCGCTGTAACATTCCTTATACACTTACCCATTCGACGCTAACTCATCAATCAAACAGCTAGAGCGATTTTCGTCCATAATATTAGTGTACGGGATTAAGCAGTAAAAAAAGGGAGAAAGAGAAAAATATGTTTTTGAGTAGAAAGTCATCGAAAATGTGTATGAAATTAAAATCATGCTGTGCATCAGATCGAAAAATAATATTATTTAAATAGAGAAACACAGAAGAAAAAATGTAGAAACTCAGTAAGTTTTAAACACATAGGCGCTTGACACCATCTTAGATTACCGCTATCGCTAATAAATTTTACCATTTTAATCGATTACCAAAATAAGGTTTAAATTTTTAATGTCTTTGGTTATTTCTGGGTATTTGTGTATTGTACTTAAATTAAAAAACATATGCCTAAAATAATTTTTAAAACTATTAAAACTAAGTCTATAAAACTTTATATTTTATTAAACTTAAAGGGTTTTAAAAACATTAGGTTATCTATTTACTATGTGCTCACCTTAAACTTGGCATACTTTTCCCTTTAATGAGATTACATGGAAGTAAATCTCCTGTGAGTCGCGGCGTTATGGCGGGAAAATTACTAGCTAAAGCTGAATTGGGACGCTCGTCATTGTTGTCTAAGCTTCTATGATATTCCTGTACGGAAAATGTGGTTTTTAAAAACTCACAATTTAGAAATATAACACCAATAATAAGGAAAAAATAACTACAGATATCATTCTTACTGCTGTAGGGAAACTAAATTTTTGATCGTCATGGCCGATTTTTTCTAAAGCTTTCTCGGATTTGGAAAGCAGTTTAGTTTCGACAAAAGCTTTTAAGTCTGCCATTTTCATTTTTCGTTTCACTTTTTCGCTTGCTCTTCTAGTTATTAAGTTATCTTCGTCGATTTTTGGTACCGATGATAGCGGTATTTCTGTCACAGGAGATATGTCTTTAGAGTCGGGGACTTCCATGAAATTTTTTAACGAATCGTGTTCCTTTATATCTGGACTCTGGTAGATTGATACTTCTATTTTCGGAATGGGTAAAGAATTACTCCTTTTTCTTGGGTGACTCTGCTTAGACATATCGTCACAGATGTCGCGTAATCTACGAGGAAAGTTTAAAGATTTTAAAAATAAGAAACGACAATATTAATCTAGCCAAATTTATAGCCCTACTACTATACTATTATATATATATATATATATATATATATATATATATATATATATATATATATATATATATATATATATTATACTATACTATCAGTCCATAAAAGGTGAACTATTCAATGTAGGCAGGCCTCATATATAGTGTTCTTATGCATTACATTGGATACATTTCTTTTTCAAATCTTGTTACTTACCATTTTTGTAAGCGACATACGAACTTAAGCGAATCACACACTACGCAGATACGATAAGATATCTGTATCAGAGCGCATATCTTTCAATGTCGCTCTCTATGAAATTCAATGAGCTAACACACACTGTGCAGATAATTTATATTTCATCGTTAAGTATCTGTAAACACCGACATGTATCGAAAGATACTGACAATAGTACCTGCTCGTACAAATATATCTGCATAACATCTGCAGCAGATACAAATATGGTATAGGATTTTACCTGTGATTAAATACAGAGTGGTCGCTGAAAAAATGCGATTAAATTCGCTTCGGTGCTTTTTAAGCTTTATAAGACATTCTATACAAATTCTTCGCCTTTTAGTAAATGCTAATACAACACGTGCATCAAAATCAAAATCTGAATCCTACTCTGACGAGCAGTCTAGCAAATCTAGAAGCAATATACGCCAAGTCATTGTTGGTAACATTCTGTTTATACAGAACCGCTCTAAAAAACACGTCTAGTAAGTTTGAAGGATTTCGAGGGAATGTATCATTGGGTATATTATCATATCTGCATAGTGTGTGATACTTACAGATAAATAAGTTTTTGTACGCAGATAAAATATTATCGTATCTGCGTAGTCTGTGACTCGCTTTACAATCCACCTGATGGGCAGTGGTTACTGCAGCACATAGACACCTGCAACAAACTTCAAATAAAGAAGGCTATTGATGCGTTGTCATCCCTGAGGACTAAAATGAAATGCCTCATAGGCTGTAATTCATCATCATCATCATTACAGCCTTTCACAAGTCCACTGCTGAACATAGGCCTCCCCCAAGGTATGCTACAAAGCACCGTCCTGAGCCACTTGCATACATCGAATACCTGCATGTCTTCCCAGGTTGTCACTCCATCTAGTGGGAGGTCACCCTACACATCGCCTACCGGTACGAGGCTGTAATTATACTGATTCTATATACCCTTCACCAGAACACAGAAGTGCGTGCACGTTGTAGTGCAGGGCAACATGCATTTCGCGGCAAATTTAATTAGGAGTTTGAGACCCATCCAGCAGGACTTCTAGGCAGAAAAAGGCCTATAACTTGCAAAACCTACATGTTGCTTGACTTTGAAATCTGTGCAAGCCATTAGCCGAATTTGATATAAGACTGATTTAAGATTATTTTCATATATACCTGTATAAACCCACCTGTTGTAAAGATAATATAAAGCCCAATATACACCTTCTTCTTGCCACTGGGATGTAAATAGACATCTCAAAGTGGCCACATCTAAAAAAGTTGCAGCTGACACCTGTGAAATTATGTTCATTCAAAATATTGTTTCGACAGCCAGTTGCGTGTTGCATCACGTTAAGAGAACATTCCCGAAGATAGGTCAATGGCCTCAGTCAAGTAAATAAAATGTGTAGACATAAAAATGGATAACGTTCAAATATTGACGAGATGCAATTTTATGTTTACATTTTTGATAACGTTATGTAATCGCGAGTGTTCTAGTGCCTTCCGATTGAAAGAGTGGAATGACTGGAATGGTCCTACAATCCTCTTATTGGATGTAAAACGCGATCGGATAATTAATTACCTTCAGGAACGCGAAAGTGAACTCTACTCCGGGAAGCGATTACGACTTCGGCGATCACTAAGGACCTTTCCGAAGAAGCCAGCGATTTTGGACGACGTGATTGCATACTTCCGTGTGGAAAACATCCATTTTCATCCTAATAGGCATTTTTACTAGAGATGAAACGGATAGCTGTATGGCCGAATACTGGATATCGGATATTCGGCCAGTCTTATCGCCGGATAGCCGGATTTCCGGCCACCGGATATTCTGCCGAGCACTGCCGTTTGGTGCATCGCAAGAAGCGAAAAGTAAAGTCAGTGCAAACTGTTCGCGATCGTGACCTTTATATTTGGTGGGCAGGTATTGCTACACAATACCCAAATTTGCCAAAACCTATCTTTTAGAATCCTGCAGCAGAGTGTACAGGGAAATACTTTTTTCTGAAGCTGGCCTTGTTTATGAAGCTTGTTTATTATTAGCTACATAGTACTATTATTTATTAGCGCAGCACCAGTACTAATTTTGTAAGTTTAAAAATGAATTTTTTTTGATTACTGATTATATTTCTTAAGTGATATAAATAAAATACAACTAAATTTGATATTTTGTGGTTTTTTATAAAATCCGGTATCCGGCCGGATAGTAATTTTAGGCCGGATAGGCCGAAAACACCGTTCATCGTTCACCGTATACCCGTTTCATCTCTAATTTCTACTCACCCCGCTTGTATCAATCAATATTTTGGACGACGTGATTGCATACTTGCTGTGTGGAAAAATACATCCATTTATCACACTAATATGCATTTTTACTCACTCCGCATGTATCAATATTTTGGACGATGTTATTGCATACTTGCTGTGTGGAAAAATACATCCATTTATCATCCTAATAGGCATATTTACTAACTCCGCATGTATCAATATTTCGGACGATGTTATTGCATACTTGCTGTGTGGAAAAATACATCCATTTGTCATCCTAATAGGCATATTTACTAACTCCGCATGTATCAATATTTCGGACGATGTTATTGCATACTTGCTGTGTGGAAAAATACATCCATTTATCATCCTAATAGGCATATTTACTAACTCCGCATGTATCAATATTTCGGACGATGTTATTGCATACTTGCTGTGTGGAAAAATACATCCATTTATCATCCTAATAGGCATATTTACTAACTCCGCATGTATCAATATTTCGGACGATGTTATTGCATACTTGCTGTGTGGAAAAATACATCCATTTGTCATCCTAATAGGCATATTTACTAACTCCGCATGTATCAATATTTCGGACGATGTTATTGCATACTTGCTGTGTGGAAAAATACATCCATTTATCATCCTAATAGGCATTTTTACTCACTCCGCATGTATCAATATTTTGGACGACGTGATTGCATACTTGCTGTGTGGAAAAATACATCCATTTATCATCCTAATAGGCATATTTACTAACTCCGCATGTATCAATATTTCGGACGATGTTATTGCATACTTGCTGTGTGGAAAAATACATCCATTTATCATCCTAATAGGCATATTTACTAACTCCGCATGTATCAATATTTCGGACGATGTTATTGCATACTTGCTGTGTGGAAAAAATACATCCATTTATCATCCTAATAGGCATATTTACTAACTCCGCATGTATCAATATTTCGGACGATGTTATTGCATACTTGCTGTGTGGAAAAATACATCCATTTGTCATCCTAATAGGCATATTTACTAACTCCGCATGTATCAATATTTCGGACGATGTTATTGCATACTTGCTGTGTGGAAAAAATACATCCATTTTCATCTCTAATTTCTACTCACCCCGCTTGTATCAATCAATATTTTGGACGACGTGATTGCATACTTGCTGTGTGGAAAAAATACATCCATTTATCATCCTAATAGGCATATTTACTAACTCCGCATGTATCAATATTTCGGACGATGTTATTGCATACTTGCTGTGTGGAGAAAATACATCCATTTGTCATCCTAATAGGCATATTTACTAACTCCGCATGTATCAATATTTCGGACGACGTTATTGCATACTTGCTGTGTGGAAAAATACATCCATTTATCATCCTAATAGGCATTTTTACTCACTCCGCATGTATCAATATTTTGGACGACGTGATTACATACTTACTGTGTGAAAAAATACATCCATTTATCATGCTAATAGGCATTTTTACTTACTCCACATATATCAATATTTTGTAAGACGTGATTACATACTTACTGTGTGAAAAAATACATCCATTTATCATGCTAATAGGCATTTTTACTCACTCCACATGTATCAATATTTTGGACGACTTGACTGCTTACTTGCTTTGTGGAAAAACACATCCATTTATGATCCTAATAGAATTTTTTACTCACCCCGCATGTATCAATATGTATCATACTCCACTTTTTGACCGAACTAGATAAAGTATTGGACTGAGTATAATCCATCGATATCGATTACTTTAGAAAATATCAAATATGATAATTACTAACAGCGAAATGTAGAGTTCAGCGTGTCGTAACACGTACTTGACCATTTCTTTATATTACAAGGGGTTAAAGTATGATAATGCAGTTTTGCATTGAAAATTCAAACACTTCTTTTTTTTTAAGAAAAAATATTTTTATTTTTTCGTAGTATTTACTCCCATTATCTATTCATTCTACCATCTAGAGGGAAAATCGTTTATACTTTTGTAAACAACTCGTGAGATGTGAACTCTACCATCTCTATGAAGGCATTTCGTACCGCTTCCTCAGAACAATTTTTTCCATGCTGTAAATTGTGCACATTGCGGAAAAAAAGGTAATCGGTTAGGGCTGAAGGTCTTGTAATGTTAAAACGCTTAGTCGAGCAACGTATTGCGTTATAATGTAGCAATAATGGCAAAGATAGTAGTGTTTGTTGCTCTGAGTTTCGCAATCATTGTTCGATGTTCTTCACAATAAACGTGTGCTGTTATTGATAAACTGGATCTCAAAGTTATAATTAATATATGTCTATAGGTGAGCTTATTGGATATATTGTTCCGGTATATGAACTGATTTCAGCCATTGTGTTTTTTACTTACGATTACCGTAGAGATTTTCATAACAAATCACAAATCTGTCCAAAATTCCGTCATTTCTGCACCCATGAGTACTTATCAAAGCAAGGAAACTGTAACGCGTTCTCTTCAATGCATTCGGTGAATTCATGAGGCATTCATTTCTCGCGTCTCATTATTTTATTAAATACAAATGTTAAACAGGGCTCAACCATGACGCTAAATCCCCGGTTGTTCGACAAAGATCGGCTTCCAACCTTTAATTCATCGTTATTTACCATAATCTAGTCTTATTCGTGGTTTATTCTTTAAGTCTAAATTACCACTACGAAAGCTATTAAACCAAAAACGTACAGTGCGTTCGTTAGACGTGTCGTTTCTGCTGCGTTAGAACGTCTGAACTCATATTCGAAAATTACTCTAATTTTTGAGATGGTTTAACTCAAATAAAGAAATCAAAAAAGAACAGAATGTCACAAATGTTTAATTTAGAATGTAACAGTTTTTGTTTAAAGAAAGATTAAATCACGAACCTTCGACTTGTTTAATTTCAAAGTGGCCACTCCATGAAAACGACAACTTCAATGTTTAATGCCTATTACTTATACTTATATAAAACTGTAACGTATTATAAATATCATATTTTATAAAGCAATATCAAAGTTACTCTGTAAGACTAACGCCGGCATTGCATCCGCATGCATGCAACAAGTATTTGTGTGCTCTACAAACAATTATTTCGCATCTGGGTATTTCTTCATTTGCAATTTATGTGTGTTAAAACGCCTTCACGGTACAGGGGAAATACTTCGTGTGGGTGACTAACTTCATTTTAATAAAGAGAAAAAAAGTGATTGAAAATCAATATTAGCTGAAATATTTACATGATCTTGTTTTCCCGCATGCATTTTCTCAGTAGATGTGAGTGTCTCCTTAATGCCTTGACAACCTCCAACGCTATCCGATAGCGAATCTTTGTCTGATGAACTGTTAACAAAATCAAAATTTCTTTAAATTACTTAAATGAGTTTTCCACGTTTGTTTTTCTTTTTATCAATAATATAGTTTGTTTATCAATAATATAAAATATATTAGTGATAGTCCAATATGCGGCATAAAGTACGTTGCGTGTTTGGAATCCAATCACTAAAATGATGTTTGGAACTAAGGTGGGTGGACTATGGAAGGCCATGCTCCTTCGATGGCCAATTATAAGCTAAGGCTAAGCTTAGCGGTCAGCCGTCGTAGAGTCTACATCTCCTGAAGATGCCTCGTGTAGAGGCGAAGCACGTGTCGTATTATCGGTGCCGCCCAGAGAAGGGGAAAGTTTTGTTTTTTTTTTTGTGGGTGTGTGGAGAGAGGCTTTTTTGGGCTTCCTTTTGTCCCGGGGCCTCTTTTTTTGGGGCCTTCTTCCTTTTTCCCTTAAAAAAAATCATCGATGGTGTATCTTTCCTGGAATAGTGGTGTTGGAAGTAGTGGTGCCGGGAGTAGTGGTGTTGGGAGTAGTGGTGCTGGGACTAGTGGTGGCGGGATTAGTGCACGCAATTGAGGGAGGGCGGGAGGTGCTCTTCAATCCAGGTAAAATACATCATTGTATTTAATTAATGTGGATGGTTGCGAATTAGATACTAATCTTTATTATAATGAATTTCCGCAAAGTAACAACTGATTCTATCAATTATCAGTCATTTAACACTAAAGTTTAACAAATAGCGATTAAATCTACAATAAAAAGAAGTGGTTTATATGTTAAAATATTACTTAAATATTTGTTAGTGTCATTTATCCAGTAAATAAACGAATAATAACTGTTTATTTATTAGAGTGACCTTCCATGGTACACCCACCTTATTTAGATTTAGAGACACATATCAAGACCCACGCAATTATTCGTAGGCATCATGATAATGATGATCAAGATCCACACAATTATTCGTAGGCTATATAAACATTTGTTTCGTGCGGGATTCGAACCCAAGGCCCTGCAGCGGCGCGAGCAATTGCTTAGCTGCGGAGCCAACTGCAGAAGCTATTATGTGGAAGTAAAATATTTTTAACGTAATAGCTTCTGAAGTCGAGGCTTAATACATTAAATCTAAACGCCGACTTCAGATGCCAATAAGTTAATTTCTATTAAAACTTAATTTAACTGACTAACTTTCTTCCTAAATCCTTCTTTCCTTGAAATCTTATGAATAATCATACAAAAGACTTCACTGTGTTAACATGTTGCATGATTACATCTAGCGTACATTGTTCCATTGTAAAATTAAATCAGCAATTACCTCATTTTTGTGATTTGAGGCAATGGTTTTATTCCAGGTAAGTTTGGTTTAATGTTGTCAGGTTTTCTAGCTTGAAATAAGCTGGGGTCTGCTGCATAAACTGTATAGACTTCCTTATATGGCCCACTGTAATTTTGTTCTGAGGGTAGACGATATATAAACTGAAAAGCAAAATTTAATTTTAAAAACAGTATGAAAGGATCTATGATATGACTAACTACGATCTATATTCAACACGTAACATAATTAACGCACTTTGAGAAAGTAGTTTGTTCAGAATCGTTTACTGAATCGATTCCTGTCATTTTTAATATAGGTAATTAATTAAAACTACGTAAATTACAGTCACACTAAATCTGTACAGTCAAAACAAACTGAAATGGACCGTAACTTAAGGCAATAAAACTTTTAAGAGTGTAGTTTTATTTGTATTATTACTCATTCTGTTATTCAATAAAAATAAAGAAAAATGAACTTTATTTCAAGCACGTTAAAGTCTTTGCGTTCGTGGATTTGTACTGTGACCACAGCATTCTTCCGGAATTAGTATAACTAATTTGATAAATAAACAGTGCATAAAAATTTTTAACTAAAAATTCAGTGTATGTATTATGTTTATAACATAATATACTAGTCGGGGTGTCTGAGGGTGTGCGTTAATTACGTTACATATTGTATATGACTAAAGTTATATATATCCGAACATTTTAGTTTTCGTGCATAAATTAAAAAGGTTTCTTTTGAAAATGTTAAGAAGTCACATGACTCTATCAGTTTTATAAGATTTAATTAGAGTAATCTCTATACCATAACGTTGTAAACTTCGTATCAGTATTATTCCTGACATTAACCTAACATTTTTATTTTCAAACCACTTCAAAAATCAATATTCTAGTATGATAATTTCGTTTACATGTTCATAATGCTGGATCACAATGGCTTCGCTGTAGACGTCGTTTACATTACAGAGATAAAATTAATAAAATATATTATGTATATTTGGTAAAGCTAGATGCTTCTAAAACAGTTCGTTCATTGGACAGTAACCATTCAGCCTGTATTATTATATTAAGTCACTTGGCGACTTTAATAAAAGACACAAATCTACAATTACAATACATTTATAGAAAGTAATAAACCTGTAACGTATTATACTATATTATGTATAAAATTTATCAATATGTATAATTCGTTAATTGCATATATTTTTTGTACAGCATCGGGGAGACTGTTGGTTCCTTTGTCATTATAAAATTATTTACAAAAATTCAAATCTTACAACATGTTCCTCTTCAGTACTAGAGCTCTCTTCAGGAATTGTTTCCGGAAATATTGTATCTTTAGGTGAAGACAGCCACGGCTCTTCCTCAGTGCTGGCTTGTTTTGAAGGGATGTCAGACTGAGACACTGACACGTTTTGACTTGGTGGACTTCCAGTATTTGGGCCTTCTTCTTTAGAAAATTTACCTAAATATGGAATAAACCCTTGTAATTTTAATATGAACCAGACCAGATAACAAATCACAAATACTTTAAGTAATAATTGGAACTTTACAAAAGTATAATTTGCGTTCAACTTACGGCCTAAAAACACATCTCCATGTCGAGATCTCTTAGAAAATTTCCCTCCAAGAGGTCTTGGCTTAGGCTTTACCAATGTAGTAAAACATGCTGCATCAGGATGCCGAAATTCCCACAACGCCTGCCACATTTTCAAGCCATTTTCCAACCGATAATTGTTTGTAAAATCAGATTCCTTTAAATGATGTGATATTGGCGCAAAGAGGAATACAAAAAGCTAAAATAAAATAAGATATAGAATAATAAAGTACACCAATAGAAATTACTTTTAAAGGTTACCAATACTAAATATTTATTATGGTTAATAGACTTCTGCCGGGTGATATCTTGTCTGGACTTTCGCTGTAAGTAGTGGCGGATTCTAGAAACTAATGTTTTTATTACACTGAATACGAGAGAGCAAACTCACACTCTTATAAAAATAGGAACAAGAATTGTTATAATCTAGAGACCCTTGCCACTTTAACAACAAGTACCCGGATGACCGAGCTTTGCTGTCGGTTTTTTTTTTAAATTACATTTAGATACAAATTCCATACTGATGAATAATATTTTTGAATCTTATTGACATAATACTCGAAATAATAGATTTTCTCACAAAAGAAGGGAACTTGAAAAAAAAGGAAAAAAAAATCGAATCGACGACAGGACGCGAACCAAGGCATTACGATTCCGCGACCGTTCGATATTCACTTGAGCTATTAGGCTCGTTAACACAGTGTCAAAATTTACCTACTTATATTGTAGCAGTTTTTCATTGACTGAAAACAAGGACAAAAAGACATTTTCTAAAAATAAATCCTAGCTAGATCGTTTTATTGCCCCCGAAACTCCCTGGACACTAAATTTTATGAAAATCGTTGGAGCCGTTCGCGAGATTCCGATTTTATATATATATATATATATATTTTTTTTTATTATACAAGTTTTTTACAAGAATTGCTTGTTTAAAGGTATAGGATAACCATCAAAAATATTGGTGGTAAATGAACTAACAGTCCACCAACAACCAGCTAAACTGGTCAACTTCAACCAGCTTTAAACAAAGAAAACCAGATTCTAAACAAAAAAGGAGCCCTACCTAGGACCTTTTTTTAACAGGATAGGGTAACAAACGAGCACACAGTCCACCTGATGGTAAGTGGTTGTTGTGACCCATAGACATCAGCATCAATGTTCGATTAAACATCAAAATGAACATGCGTTGTCACCCGGTGAGGACTAAGATGAAATGCCTCATTTCCAGCAGCATTAAGCTGCTATTTTACGCTGGTATTCTGTGAGAGTGTGATCCTTCCCCGGTCGAGCCGAACCATTCGTGCTACAACTATAGTATTTATATAGCTGCAGCATGACTCCACCATGTATAAACATTACTAAACAATAATGTCCTTCACACTGAATTTAGACATGAAGGTCAGCCTCAGAGACTAGTCATCAGGATGAGATTAAAGTGTATGAGCATGTGCACAAGAATAGGTGCTCTCTCTATTCCCTTAATTTCAAAGTCCAATGGAATGGCAGTTCTTACGACACGAGGCCCTGGAACACAGGACCAACGGCTGTACATATTTTCCAAGGCATGGGTGTGAAACCACCAACTTTCGGACTATAGGCCGCTACTGAGTATTTCTTGGAAGAATCAGGATTCCAACCCGGGACCTAACAAAAACGATTCAAAATGTGACTCCTACTACAACATGTAACTACTAAGTCTTGTGGTTATAAATCAAATAAATTATAATAAGAAAAAATATTTAAGATTGATATAAGAATCTGTTTCTGCATTCGTAACTTATTTTTTACCCTTACGTTACTTTGGGCCAAAGATCATAATATAAAAACAGATTAATAAGCACGATCTATCAAAATATTAGTTATCAGAAAGAATAGACCAACTTTCATTAACATGTAAGTAATGTTTTACTGATGAATCATGAAATTTTTTAAATAAAGATATGCACACGAATACAATTTTACCAAAAAGAATACAACTACACAAAATGAAACTTAGGAGAAAATACGATATTGAATTAATAACACCGCGAACAAATTTCGGTAAAAAATGTAATAATGTATGAAGGCTCCTAAATATATAACAAATTACCTAAGGATACTCAAAATCAATGCACACATTTAAAAGACTACTGAAGTATCACATATTGAAAGAGTAAGCACACTTATGCATATATAAATAATATATATATATATATATATATATATATATATATATATATATATATATATATATATATATATTAACAATCAGATTTTTCTACTAAACTAAACTAAACTATCAAAACTAATCTACTATACTAATAATAACACTTAGTTTATGCGGGACACATCCAGTAATGCTTATCTGTGTAAATCGACATTAAGAAATCGGCGGCCGAATTTGCACGAAGTCTGTCGAGTCATTGCCGTCGCTAAACAAAATTTTTAAACCTACCACCTACATTGAGTTTTGTATGTCTTCGGTAGTTTTTGTTGTAATTTGCATTATTACCTTGTACGAATAGCCCAAACCAAATTTACATTAAGCTGTAGATATGTAAGACTCATAAGTGAATGTAAAATTCTTGAGATAATAAATTTCTTATAACAGGATCCATGGACAGAAAGGAAATCAATAAAATAATAAATAATGTAATGTGTCCAACCCATCTGGGATGGATAGATGAATATGGGTTCTGATTATCCACTCCAGGGTGGCTTCTTTGGGGAGGATAAATGGAATAAGTGCTTAAAAACACCTTAAAAGTTCATAACTAGGTATGAGTCTTCAAATTTAGGAAGGATTTGAAAAAGTGAACAATTAAGTTTTAGGAAGGATTTGTAACCATGAGATGCCATATTATTTTGGTCATTTTTTGCCATTGCTATGTATATATTTTTATATATTTTTTGGCATTTACTATGGTCTTTTTATATGAGATCTATGAAATTGAATCTCTTACATTGCTACCTCATAGTATGAACAAATATTTCTCTGAGAGCATTTAATAGTTTACTTAAAGTTTTTAAATTACTCACTGTCATAGTAGGTATTGAGAATAAATAATAAAATGGATTAGAACAGAATTTGTCATTCTCATAATCATTATCCGCACACTCATCAGAAGCATCAAGGAGGATCCAGTGTAATGTGTAAAGAAGTTTTGTCTCTACATTTCCCAGTGATTGCATGTTGTCTTTTATTCTGTAAATAAAATAAAAAAGGATATTAATAATTTAAATCAGCTAAAAAAGGTGTATTGACCACAGTTGTACATTGTGTTAAGTTACTTATTACATTAAATTGTAACAGCTTAAATATTGATTAGTCATATTTACGCGAAGACTCTTACTTGAAATAAAATTGTTTTTTACGTATTTTATCACATTTCATTAATTAATTATATATTTCCGACTTTAGAGTACTTTAGACGAAGCATATACGAAGATACGACGACGAAGATAAGACTATAGACGAAGGGACTAAAGTGTTCAAACTCCCAATGTTATGGATCATAGTTAACTTCGACGCCCTGGGATGTCAGCAGTCTGTGAAAACATACAGGATTGCCTCTCCATTACATCAGATTTGAAAGGCCACACATCCTCTCAAAAAAAACTCCATTAGTTACTAAAAATGACTTGCGAGGCTATTGAAATAAAAAAAATCGCATCGTCAATATAGTATATTGCCGGGTGTAACTATCTGCTTGACATTCTATAATTAATAAAATTATGTCCCAACTCAAGCATACTACTGCAAGACTTCATAATACTATATGCTCTTTCTAAATTATGTAATATTTCTAAACGTAAATGTGCATTGTATGTAATTCTTTCAAAATTTTTATCTGAAGGTATCCATGATTAACTGACATAGGGATGTTGAACACCTCTGCTCCTCTTGTGATCAAGATGTGTTGCAAATTACTCGAAACGTCAGAAACATAAAATGAATGAATTAAACATGGTAAAATTTCTAAAAAAACTAGTTTCATTCAAGGTCTAATTAATATTTCTATTCATAATTAAAAATAAAAACATAGTGAATATTTTTATAGGTGGTATAGCCATATTGCAGCTATATTAGTAGTAGTTGTAGCACGAATGGGTCGGCTCGACCAGGTAAGGACCACACTCTCACAGAACAGCAGCGTAAAATGGTGAGTGTAGAGAACCCTTTTTACTGGAAACGAGGCATTCCATATTAGTCATCAGGGTTGACAACGTATCTGCATTTTGATTCATAGTCGAAGATAGATGTAGATGTCTATGGGCAACAGCAACCACTTACCATCAGGTGGACTGTGTGCTTGTTTGTGAACCTTACCATACTAAAAATAATTCATAAAATAATGAGAAATAGCATTATAACAAAGTTGACAAAATGTGTCAATACTTAATAGCAAAATTTGAAAGGAACCTGTTGTTTAACAATGCAGCTAGTGAATGCATCACATGTGGTAGTGCTGCCTGTATAAGACGCCATCTTGGGATTGACTCTATTGCATCAGTAAGGCTGATAGAGAGCCCAAAGCGTAGATTTTGCACCAGTACTTTTTCAAATGACTGAAAAAACATATGAAAGTATAAATTACCTATAATTGACCAGTACATACGAAGAGTCATGGTAGATTAGGGGCTAAACAAACATTGTTATTTCACAGTATGTAAGCAACTCAGATTGATCCCAACCAGCATCAATGAAATTATTAATTGCAATTTTAAGTGTTGAATTATGACATGCTTGCAATAAAGGGAAATAATGTAAGAAAACCCTCATATCTGTGAAATAAAAATATATCTAAGAAATGTGAAGTCACACATCTTTGAGTAGCCCAGTGAATTAAATGGACTGTCACATAAACCATAGGTCATGGTGTCTGTGGGACATATTTTGCCTAATTAATTTGATAACTGATTGGTTTTGAAATCTTTGTATAGTTTTTATAATATTGAAATAATAAAATTATTACTTGAAAATTAAATTGAAAAAATTTTACTTGCTTCTTAAAAATCCAAGTTCTGAAAACATATCTACAATATTTTCATAAATGACTTATTTTAAATAAGCATTTACAATATTGAATTATTGAACTGATAATATTAAGACCACCTAATGTAAAATACTGCAAGCACATTAGAAATGGGAATCCTGTGGAGAAAGAAAAAAATTATTTACCATGAGGTATGAATTTCCACACATTAATAATAATTTGCATTTGATTAAATCTTTACATAAAATTATGATAGAAGGGGTCAGTAAAGATTTATTTTCATAGCATCAGAGATGGCTGAACTAAGTAAATGGCACAAATTTAAGTCTCTGAGTGATGACTATGTATTTGTACCACTGCAGTAAACCATAGTCATCGCCGACTAGTCATCGCTGCTAATGCTTCAGTAAGAAAACACAGCCAGAATTCTTGATATTATACTGCACAGAGTAGGACTGTATAATATTTTTTTAATAAAAAATAAATATCAAAAATACACAATTTTCAGGTTTCTGTTTCTAAAGCTGAGCCGAAATACATCAATATTATGTCTACTAAATATAAACATAATACTATTGGTGTGTTTTCTTAACAGCTATTTGAATGATTATTACAGGTTTACCTGTAACAATATATACACAATACAATTTATATAACTCTGATATTTACCAAATAAATACCGGAATAATATACTCTATCCTTATATCACGGGTCTAATAACAAAGGCGGCAAAGTCCCAAATTAGGTGTCTGTGACTCCCTAAACTACTATACCGATTTAAATCAAATTTGCACACTGTGTGCAGTTAGGTCCAACTTTAGATAGGATAGTTTTTTTGCCCATGTGTGGCCCACAAATTTTTTGAATTTAAGGATTTATTATAGGACACGACAAAGGATCGTCGAAAACTGCAGAACAACGTCTCCCTGGCAAGCTAGTTTATTATATAGATATGTATTGTGAAAAAATATATTTGAATGTTACAAGTAAACTATGATGATACGATGTTAAAGGTTATTATTTACTGAATGTTTCTTACCTTACAAGCTTCTTTTAGCTCCTGGGGTTATAGCCGTAAAAATAAAAGTACAATTAGAAATTAGAATACAATTTGAAATATGCTAAAGAGTACATGTGTAATGATTTAAGTAATAAAGGATAGCATTGCATGCAAGGAATACATTATTTTATTGCTTTATTAAAACAAAAAGTTAAGCAACCAAATTTATAAACAGCATTTTATAAAGCTCTATCTAATAATAAATTTTTAGTTTATTTGATCTTTTTTACCCATAATAAAATCTTTGTTTATTACTTTTTCTTGCTCAGATCTCAGACCACTGTTCAGATAAAATAAGTATAAGTAGCAAGCCAGTTCTGTTTACATTGTTATCATTTGTTAAACTTTAATAGTTTGTTTTGGTTTTGGTCAAATGTCAGTTGTTTGTTGTTTTTATTATTCGCTCGAGAGAGAAGCAAAGGAACTAAGCCATACAGCCTTGTCTTTTTTTTTTTTAATTTTAATATATAAAATTTTGAAGTGTAAAGGCCAGAACCAAAATTCAAAATCCATAAAGGCCGAAGCCAAGTCTTATTTTCTTTAATTCTTCATATTTTCAAAAACAACAAAGGCTAAAGCCAAGTCTTCTTTATATTATAATCTTTATAAGTTTCAATCCATATAGATTTATCAGTCTAGTTTCAAGGTTCCCGCGCTTTTTTTTCTTTTCTTCACAATATGCTGATGCGTCACATTGCGAAGTCCTTGGGAGATTTTGACGACAGCTCAACCCAATGGACAGTTGATGACGACAGCCACTCAAGTTCATAAGGCGCCTAAGCGATCAAAATAACTTGAGGTTTATATCGACATCAAAGCACTTGTTTCGTCGTTTTCTCTAATAGTTCACACGCACATACAATTAATTCACAAAATCACATCACTTTTACGAATTAAAATCCACTTCAAACCATTATTCAAGCGACAAAACAGGAGCGACAGTCCGTCGTCGGCCAAGTTCCCGCCAAAACTCCCTCAAATGTCAGTTTCATGAAGGTTAGAGAACGTCAGTTTAGTTGATTTTTTTCTTTGATAATGGACTTGTTTAGTTATACTTTTGCCAGTGTCAAGTAATTAGGAAAACTTACATGGTAAATGGTTACCGTGTAGTGGCGGTTAAGAATATCCACTACCCCATATCTTCCCGTGGGTGTCGTAAAAGGCGACAGAGGGAAACAGGCAGGAGATGGGCAGCAGCATCTTGCTGATAACAGCAACTATACGACAAAAAAAACTGCGGTTGCCAACCCGCTCGCCAAGCGTGGCAACTATGGCAATATACCCCCCATGAACAATTACACAAATAGACGGCCCCCAGTCCCCGGTGGCCCCGCTATTCCTGGCTACGGTGGCGACCATGGTAACGGTGGGGCAGGAGGTGCTAAGAATCTCCGGTGGAGGTTCGGTTGCGACCTACGCTGATTCGACCTGGCAACATTTAACGCAAGCACCCTGAGGACTGACGAGAAGATCCTGGAGCTGGAAGAAGAGATAGACAAGTTGCGCTGAAATATTATAGGATTATCCGAGGTCCAAAGAGAGGGGGAGGACACGGTAATTCTCGAATCCGGCAACTTGTTCTATCACCGGGAGGGCGACCATCTGTCCCAAGGAGGTGTTAGATTTATCGTCCACAAGAAATCTCTCGTTCAAAACGTTTTAAAGATTGGGAGTGTATCGACGAGGGTTGCGTACCTTATACTCAGAATCACCAAACGGTATTCGCTGAAGGTCATACAGGTTTACGCGCCAACGTCGGAACATCCCGATGAGAAGGTGGAGGAAATGTATGAGGACATTTCTAGAGCCATGCATTCCTCCAAAACTCACTATACGGTGTTAATGGGAGACTTCAACGCAAAACTGGGCACAAGAAAGAACGGTGAGATGAAGGTAGGGAAATTTGGGATAGGGCAACGGAACCCAAGGGGCCAGCAGCTGGCCGACTTCATGGAGAAAAAGGGAATTTTTATGATGAACTCTTTCTTTCAGAAGCGGCCCCACAGAAAGTGGACCTGGTCGAGCCCCGACGGTTCGACAAAAAATGAGATTGACTTCATTATGACGACCAGACGCCAACTGTTCAGTGATGTCTCAGTGATCGCAAAGGTGAAAACTGGCAGCGATCACCGAATGGTTAGAGGCACACTGAACCTTAACGTTAAGTTGGATGCAGGTGGCTTAGGACCGTGCTTTGTGGCGTTACTTGGGGGAGGCCTATGTTCAGCAGTGGACTTGTGAAGGGCTGTAATGATGATGATGATGATGATGAAGTTAGAGAGGTCTCGTCTAATGAAGTCAACGCTCTGTCCCCCTCGTGCTCTGATCCAGAATCCCGAAACCTTTCAACTCGAGTTACAAAATCGCTTTCAGTACCTAGAGGATTGCAATGCAGTGGACGATATGAATGACAAGCTCGTGGAAACTGTCCATGCGGTCGGAGTTAAGTTCTGCAAGACCCGCCGCAGAAGAACACAAAAACTCTATGATCACACTCTTAATCTCATGGCTGTTAGACGGGAGATGAGGCTGCAATCGTCAACAGATTTGACAGTATACAGGCATCTGAACAGACAGATCTCCAAATGCATGCGGCGAGACTTACGCAACTTTAATACTGCTCGTATTAAAGAAGCGATCCAGCGTAACCAGGGCTCCAAAGTCTTTGCCAGAGATCTGTCTGCCAAAAAGGGCCAACTGTCAAAGCTGAAGACTGAGTGTGGCAGTATCGTTTCCGGGACACCTAAGATTTTGAGTGAGATTGAGAGGTTCTATGAGCAGCTGTACACATCATCGTTGGAGCCACACGCAAGTGTGAGTAACGATCCAAGAGCAACTCTTATCCGACACTATTCCGATGATATCCCGGACGTCAATCTGAGCGAGATTATAATGGCTCCAGCACCTTAAAAACGGCAGGGCCCCAGGAGAGGATGGAATTACAGCGGAGCTTCTGAAAGCGGGTGGAACACCGGTACTTGAAGTCCTTCAGAAGCTCTTCAATTCCCTCCTCCATGGCGGCGCTACTCCAGAGGCGTGGAGCAGAAGTGCGGTGGTCTTGTTCTTTAAGAAAGGCGACAACGCTCTCTTGAAGAACTACAGACCGATTTCGATTCTGAGCCACGTCTACGTGCTGTTTTCGAGAGTCCTTATGAATCGTTTCGCACGCAGACTCGACGACTTCCAGCCTCCCGAACAAGCCGGTTTCCAAAAAGGCTTCAGTACTATAGACCACATACATACCCTGCGGTAGATTGTACAGAAGACCGAAGAGTACAATCTTCCACTTTGCCTGGTGTATGTGGACTATGAGAAAGCCTTTGATTCCGTCGAAATTTGGGCGGTGCTACAGTCCCTTCAGCAGTGCCAAGTTGACTGTCAGTATATCGAAGTACTGAAGTGTTTGTACAGTAGGGCTACGATCGCTATCCGAGTACAGAACCACAGCTCGAAACCTATCCAACTGCAGAGAGATGTAAGACAGGGTGACGTTATATCCCCGAAACTCTTCACCGCTGCATTGGAAGACGTCTTCAAGCTACTGGACTGGAAAGGATACGGTATTAACATCAATGGCGAGTACATCACTCACCTTCGATTTGCCGACGATATAGTCCTTATGGCAGAATAGCTGGAGGACCTAAGCACTATGCTCAATGACCTCAATGGTCTCTCCCAACGGATATGTCTTAAGATGAACATGGACAAAACAAAGATCATGTTTAATGTCCTTGTCACACCTATGTCGGTAGTTGTTGGGAGCACTATGCTCGAAGTTGTTGACGAATACGTTTACCTGGGACAAATAGTTCGACTAGGTAAGTCCAACTTCGACCGAGAGGTCAATCGACGGATTCAACTCGGCTGGGCAGAGTTCGGGAAATTACGACATATCTTCTCATCAAGTATACCTCAATCTTTAAAAACTAGATTGTACAACCAGTGCGTGTTGCCAGTGATGACTTACGGATCTGAGACGTGGTCCTTTACTGCTGGCCGTATGAGGACGCTCAAGATCGCTCAGCGAGCTATGGTGAGGGCTATGCTCGGAGTTTCTCTGCGTGATAGACTCAGAAATGAGGATATCCGCAGTAAAACCAGAGTGAGCGACATAGCCCAACGGATTAGTAAGCTGAAGTGGCAATGGGCCGGCCATATAGCTCGAAGAACCGATAACCGATGGGGAAGAAAGGTTCCCGAGTGGCAGCCTCATACCGGTAGGCGTAGTGTAGGGCGACCGCCACTAGATGGAGTGACGACCTGGTAAAATATGCAGGAAGTCGATAGATGCAGGTGGCACAGGACCGTGCTTTGTGACATTACTTGGGGGAGGCCTATGTTCAGCAGTGGACTTGTGAAGGGCTGTAATGATGATGACATGGTAAAGCCACATGAGTAAAGATACCGACCAGAGGGGAAGCTACGTACTAACGGCTCGCTGCAACTATACTAAAGTTGTTCAAAACGACTATAAATCAATAGCACGCTACAGACTACAAACTATACATTTCTAGCGCGCTATTAAATACGCTATGTTATAGCGCGTTATTTATAAGAGAGCGTGTAGGAGACCGGCAAGCGCGTTAAGTTTTGTAGCACGCTATATCTCGTAGCATGTTACATTACATGCCGTTCATTGGATAGACCGCTTGCTTTATAAGAACATGTTTTCGTAATAAGTCACATTTTAGACTAAAATAAACTAAGCGGTAAAGAAAAACCAATGAACGCTTTTTCATACTTTTCAAGTTTACGACTTTCTATAATCCTAAAAATATTTTTAAGACATGTACTTTTCAAAACGAAATAAAATAATTAATTTTTTATTATAATTGATGCAAACGTTATTTTAACCTTAATATAAATTTAAATTAAATATCTGTGTATTTAAAAGTTTATTGATTGTATTTATAAAAATCAACTATTTACATACACTATTATATACACTCTTGTATCTATATTTTATTTACATATAAAACATTAGTTAGGCTTCTTTTATA